TTATATCTTTATATACCCATAGGCCGTTTTTAAGCTCTTCAGATTTCACTCCATGTTTTCCTTCGACTTAATCGTATTCATAGTCGTTTATACAAAGTTTTTGCTTCTCTTTTATTTACTAAAAACAGTTCATTTTCGTGATGAGTGAAATCCACCGCATGATTTTAAATGCCTCGCAATGGTTTGCCGCTTCATCGTGGCTGGGAGGTGCTCTTGGGTGTCGGTCTGCGATGTACAGTGGGGGGATTCATCCATCCGGCAGGGCCTCCCGAGCTGAGGAGTCCAGCATTTCAATTAGGAAACCCAGCTAAGAGTAAACCGATACCAGGATCCACCACCTTCCTGGTGTCAAAGTCGCATAGTGGTAAATCGCCCTCTAATCCACAAGGGCAGCGGCTGACTGTGATGATTAAGTCCCGGAGCAGACTTTGCCTAAGCTGACCTCAGGGCACCAGAGAACCACAATAGAGAAACCAGCGAAACCCCGAAAAAATGAAAATTATGCTAGGACCGACACAACCAGTGAAGACGGACCATCCAAGTATCGAGGTAACTAAGATTTTGAATAGAATATTTTAAATAAAATAAAATGAGGCATTGAAACATTGCTTGAGTAGAAATCTTTATGAAAATGAGAATTTTCTACGTGTTTACCCGCTCTTCACCACCGTAAAAGTTGAAAGAGTTGATAGAGCACTCGAAAACCTTTTGAAATATACTTACCGAATTTCTCGCCAACCAAATAGTACTTTTTGGAATATCTCAGTAATGACCTCTGATAAGCCTTAAACAGCTTAACATTAAAACAACACATCCGTTGCAAAAAATTCATCCAAAATGATTTTTAAAATCCAGAATTACAAAACAGCTCATTCATTCTATCTTTTCACTCTTTCGCATTGGGCATTGGAATTTGTTATCGCCGATCCCTTTCCCCTTTTCACTCCCCTTCCACTGATGAGTACAATTAAGGCACTAAAATGTTATGTAGACAATTTACTTACTTGGATACTTGGATGGGCGGTTTACCTCGGTTGTGCGAACACCAGCATAATTTCTATTCGTTTCTCTTTCGCGCACTCGACGTACATGGTGGCATCTGTGAGGTCCATTCTGTCGCCCACAAATCGTTGACATCTCCAAGTGCAGATGGTTGGCGTTCGCCACGACCATGTTCGCATATTGTTTGAGTGGTTCTCAAAGAAGATACTTGCAATTTATTGAAGTCCACCTCGCTGTTCTTTTCGTCCAACCGTCATTGCTTCTTGTCGTTACACGATTAACCCATCTGCGCTTCGCTGCCGATGTATATTCTCCTGGATCTTAAAGATGGCGTATCTTTTGACGATCTCAGCTGAGTAATCCGATCAAGCATTGTGACTTCCGGTACACTTTCAAAGGACATGGTTTGACCGGTCTGTGGGTGGTGCGCAGATTTCTAGCGAACTCCAGGGCAAAGAACGGCGGTTTATACGAAGAAGTTACAAAATTCCTTTCCAGTGAGCTGTGACGTAGATGCATGAGATGGCCGCTAAGGGACAATTTACAGAAGGTGCAAGGAGAGATGCAGGATAATTACAAGTGAACAGTTAATATAGCAAACTTCTGACGACATAGAAATAAGAACTATTTAGGGAATAATCTTAGCCCTTTTATTTACTGCCTTTTTCTTTTTAATGGCAGGGTGTGTTGAGAAATATAACTCGTATATAATGCTGAGATTTTGCAAAACTCCGGACCGCAGGTGTATGCGGTGGAGAACGAGCGCGGGCTGTTCTTTTTGCCATCAGCAATCACCCGTCAACGGGATCAATCGAACTAGCCTGAGAGACATGCACAGCGAAGGACCCGGATGGTGTGGTGGTGAAGTGACGTGACGCTGCTCGCCGGTAAGGACAACAGCGCGCGTTCGTTCCCCACCGCATACACATGCGGTCCGGAGTTTTGCAAATATCTCAGCATTATATACGAGTTATTCAGGGAATAGTTACTTTAACGAATGAGACCCACGCTGGTTAAAAAATGAGTTTTGAAGAAAGCTCCATGTCACATTTGATAGTGAGTCATTTCTCTTTCCGGTTCGTCTTTGGACTTTTGAACTTCACCCAAACCCCTTCAAGAGTCTCACGCATTAACGTTACATATCGGTTACCTATGCCGAGGTTTATAGAAAGTCGGTCTTTTAAGTTATTATCTTCTTGATCTTTCGAACTGAATCCACTGGAATGGGACACCACTCAAATGAAGGGCACAGAATCGCTGACCGCAATATAGTTCAGACAATTTCGTGTAAGCTTAAAAGTACTGCAAAATATCGATTATCTGTATCGCTAGACTTGATGGAATCCGGATTTAAAAAGCGCCACCATTGCGAAAGTTGAATATAAAGTCTAGTTTCACCCACCAGAATTATTGCATTTATGGCTAGTTGATTGCTACTCCACGAAGAATCTCAGCAATAGATAAGAGAATCTTACGTGAAACTTATACTTGATACTCGAACGGTCCGTCCTCACTCGTTGTCCCGGCCCCAGCATACTCATCATTTTTCGGAGATTTGCTGGTTAAGCCATTGTGCTTCCCTGGAATCCCGAGATCACTGGCCAAAGTCTGCCCCAGGTTTTCACCACCACGGGCAGTCGCAGCCCTTGTGGATCAGAGGGGGATTTGCCACTATGCGACTTTAATACCACGACGGTGGTGGATCCTGGTATTGGTTTACTCTTAGCTAGGCTTCCTCATGAAACGCCTGACTCCTTCTCAGCTCGGGAGACCCTGCCAGGAGGACGAATCCCCCGCTGTACATCGCAATCCGACACCCAGAACACCTCCTAGCCACGATGAGGCGGTAAACCGGTGGGAGGAGATAAGAGAATCGTCAAAATTAAACGAAAAATTTCTATACAACTATGCAGTCCTTTACGCGAATCATTTACTCGTTACCCACAAATTTGTTTGAGATCACAATGATGCATCGATAACAATAAGAATAGACCTATTGGCAAGTGCTACACTATGGAGAATACCTCTATTACCAAGTCCTACAGTATGGAGAATACTTCTATGCCTAAGTGGCAAGTTGACAGATGCGCCTATAGGAAGTTCAACAGCACTGAAAGCCCACCTACTACCAACCACCAAACTACAGAGAATTAAACTATTACCCGCTGTAGCTTGCAGCCTTTTTCGCGCGAATGGTGGTACCCTCTAAAATCATTCTTGGAACGTCAATAATATAATGAGCGATAATTGATTTGCTTAAATCAAATTGGTTTTAAAACACAATGCCTGTACAGTTTTTTAGCATCTCTGTCGCATGAAACGATTCCTACGTTTCGGGCTTTTTTTCGATAGTTAGAGGGCTTTAGGGCTAATGCACATACCAGCCTTATAAAAGAGACCTCCGTTCGCCGTTATGTGGATATGAATAGTATACCATCTATTACTTACTGAACGTTATTATAGTTCATCATATAAACACATTGCTATCGATATGTGGAAGTGTTTTGCCAGTCATGGTTCTTCATACCGATTAGAAGTGAAAATACAGTGAATTTCGTGGCAAATTTTACGTCTACAGATTCGTTCGAGAAGCTTTTTACGTATTTTTAAGTACAAAATAGAGCTTTTGGATAGGCTATTGATCGATTGCACCAAATAGAGCAAAAACGCTCTTTGCGCCAAAATAAACTAAAGTAAAGAAAGTGAAGCCTATACGGCTCACATCGACCATTCGATGCGCAGTGTATGATAATTAAGAAAGAGCGCCATCCTTAAAATGTTAACACGTGAAAAAAGTGCACCATATTTCCTTGTTGCTAATTTCTTTCACGTTCATCACTACCATTATCGCATTAGTTTCATTGTTTCGAAGTTCGTTGTTAATTTCCTACGGCCTTTGTATTTGATGCATCTATCTCATTCCATTGAGCGAACAATTACACAATCATTCTGGATAAAGATACTTTGTACGATTGCAAAATAGTGAATAATTTCGATGTTAGCAGCACTAGGCCAACCCGCATATGATACGACGTGAATTACACTTTCATACCATCACTGCGATACTATTGTTAGTTGCATGGTCGATGAAGATGACCGTCTTAGGAAGTGCCGTCTTAATTGCTTTGATTAAAGTTAGGACGCTGAGGCCATGAATGATAGTCTCGGTGATCCCCCAGAGATCCAGCCTTACGGTCATTGTTTTGTGAGCCAAAGTACTCCAAGTTCTACAACAAATTGGATAGGTTGTAGACGAGTAATATCAGCTTAGAGTCGGTATATTTGCTGTATAGTACCCATTCCCGTGCACATTCTCTTCAATCCTGAAACGGTTCTACTAAGTAACTAAGGTAGGCTGAAGATCCTTAGCTATCGTGTCGCAGCCATATCCATGGATGCACCGCTAGTTCATCTGGGACTCGACAACAGATTACAGGAAGCAACTAGGTAGCAAAAGTGGTGGTACTCCCCAGATCAATCCCGTTGACGAATGATTGCTGATAACACCTATGGGTTAAAACACTAGGGAAATAGCGCGTTCGGTCCACACCGCAGACACCTGCGGTCCAGAGTCCAGAGTTTTGTAAATATCTCAGCATCATTGTGGTTATGCATCACATCGTGCCTTACCATGAAAAGAGAACAAGCAATTAATAGAAACTGACTATATTAACTAGCTAGTAATTTTCTATACTACTGAGATCACACAAGGTTAGTAAAAAAAAAACGTTTAATCGAGTAACGTTTCGGCACCTTCGCCTTCCTAAGAGCAGCGCTGACCCCAGTCTAAATCTTGTCCAGGCTGCTCGTTGTTGAGATCGTATCTAATAGTTGCTTAGAACCTTATTTTTAACGCATAATAAAACAGTATTAAGGATAGACCTCTGGGAGCTGAGCAATCTCTGAGAGATGCGCCATGTATTCGACTTCAGCAAGCATCATTAGGGGGGTTTATTGAGTGCAAAATCTGGCCGATACAATGCCTTGCCATGGCACCTCTAACACAAAACGCCTAGCTCTAGGTTTGTTGCGAATTTGGAACGATTCATGTCAGTGAAATATTTGGGTGTCAGCTATGCAGGAAACATGTCGATTTCTCTACAGTATATGACTGTTTCTCTAATAGTAGGAAACTTGAAAAATTAGAAATTTTAACGACTTCCGAAAGAAGCTTTGCCTTATTGATTTAGCGTTGTTTATGTTATTCCTCACTATGTTACTATTGCACAGCTTCTAGACCGAAATCTCGAACTGCCCAAATTGAAAGACACGACACTAAGATGGAACGGTAAATCTTTGGAGGTGATACTTCACAGAATCTACTATCGATTGAAACTCATCGATGATTGCTCCACAAAGGGTTATCTAAAGGGTTTGTTCCTCACTTTTAGACGAAAAATGATGGACCACGAACATTACCATTAGGGTCTACAGGATCTAGTGGTTCATTTGTCATACGTAGGTACTACTTTACATTAAGCGAAAGCAATGCCTTTGTTTCAACAAGATTTAACAATAAGAGAAAAAAAACGAGGAAACCCGGAATAAGTTCAGTAAATAAGCATTCCAATCAGAAGGCAACCAAAGTAATAGCCAACAATAAGTAGATTTCAATTGAATGCAAACAAAATGCGACAAAAAATCGATTCGTTAATTGTCGCAGACGAAAACCAGAGTTATAATATCACCGATTCTGAATTCATCACATGTATCCCTGAATACTGCTACAATTTACCACAAACTGCATTTCCTTCGTCTTCATTTTCACTCTTTACATGAAACACAAGGTAATGATGATTTATCTCAGGTTCAAATTGCAGTTGCCATTTACCTAAAATGTTAGAAAGGTACACATAAAAGTGGACTTTGGCCTAAATAATACAACAATGAATAAAAAGAACAATGGAATTATTAAACACTGATGCACACCTGGAGCTAACACTCCATTTGTCGTTGTTCTGCAGAAGAAAACATGAGCTGCTCGACAGTGCACTAATGCCTGGAATTATAAAAAATCTACTACCAAATTATTGAAAAAATCTCAAAAATATTGTAACTACTGATTATAATCTTTCGTAATTCAATAGGAATCGTACCATGGCACACATTGCACACGGTTCGTCTCTTAAATAAACATCGCATCCCGTGGCCAGATAATCGTCTTCGCGACGCTGACACCTTGCCAGATTTTGCACCATATTCATCACAGGATGACCAAGTAGACGATCCGTATACGATCCAGAAGTTAGCTCTTCACCGTCCTGCAAGCCGATGTACTACATTCGTTAGAACTTAGTACTATTACCTAGCTGATAGCACCTATAGGTCAATAACACGGCTAAGAGAAAGACGAAACGAAGAACTCGCATGGTGTAGTGGTGAACGCGTTAGCCCCCGGAAAGGGTAACAGCGTGTTCGGTCCACACCGCAGACATATCTCAGCATCGTTATGGTTATGTTACCTTGTATTACCAAAAGCTTGTAAAACTACAGCCAGTCTTTAATAGATTACGGCATCGATGTTAAGGATATTCACTATGAATACTCGAGTTCGACATTTCACGAGTGCTGCATTGGCGACTAAACCAAATATTGAAGATTGATAAAGCAATGTAAAGAGAGTGGGGTAGAAGATAATAAAATGTAAAATACGACACAACAACAACTTCATGGAAGTAAGGAACAGCGAGTAACAATGAACAGCTGATCACAACAAGAGAAGGCATGACATTCAAGAGTGAAAAACTGGAACTGGGAACTTAACGTTGCAGAATATACAAGATTTACAGAGAGAAAAAAATAGGAAAGTTTAGCCATATGGTAGGAAAGTGCTGAAGTTACGCACCTGCACAACAATACTGCCCACTTCAATGGCTCTCTTGCACCAACGATACACTGAAAGTTTCTCTTCGTCCGAAAGAAACGTACCATCTAGTAAGCTTTCAGTTTTCTAAAAAAGAAGACCAGTTATTCAGTCAATTTTTTACTTAGTACCTATTCCTTTCATTGCAGAGTATGATGTGAAATATACCCATAATGGGGCTAACAAACTTGCAAAACTCCGGACCGCAGGTGTTTGCGGTGGAGATCGAACTCGTAGTTATCCTTTCCGGGGGTTGACGCGTTCACGATCACGTTATGCGGATCCTTCGCTTTGGCTTTCTCTCAGCCGTGTTTTATAGGTGCTATCAGCAATCACACATCAACGGAATTGATCTGGGGAGCACAAATCGACATTGAAACCGGCTGAGATGAAACAAGGTTGAGAGAAAGGCGAAACGAAGGACCCACATGGTGTGGTGGTGAACGCGTCAGCATCCGGAGAGGATAAGAGCGAGTTCGACTGCCATCGCCGACACCTGCGGTCCGGAGTTTTGGAAACATCTCAAAACATGTTAGTTCATAGGCTGCAGATAAACCTAACGGGTAAGTTTAGAGCTGCGCACCGAATTAACTTAAAAACCGATTCAAACCTACATAAACATTCTTTGCGTTGTCTAAGAATACCTAAGGCCCGGATCTGAATCAATCTTAAAGTAATGCGGTATAGAATTAGCTTCCCTTTAATTGAACTGCAGGGAAATTGAATACGAAATTGAACATCACAGCCATATTTCCTAGTCAGTCCGCTTATGAAGTTATTAGCAAATCAAGAATTCTGATAAGTTCTCCAGCTTGGACGGCATTGACATAGTTGCAGGCAATAGAATGAGATCGAACAGCAATCATTTAGAGCAGACAGTGATACGTTTTATGGTAGATTTATGGCAAAAGGTCAATCACATTGTATTAATCACATCAGTTTATTCTTTATTCTACATTTTGTATAACGGGTCATCCCATCTACTTTGCGGATCCTAGCACTCTTGCGTTCGATTCCTACCCCTCGCTTTCATGGTCAAGAATCATCTTTGGACATTTCGCGTACTTTTTTTCAGCTGCTGTTTGAGAATTTCGTCCTCCTTATGAATTTCTCAAAATACTGGCCGAGTCAACTTCCCTTGCAATCATGAAGATAGTGGGATTAAAGAGTACCCACGTGGATTGGAGGAAGCCGTTGAGGATGGGGTCGAACTTAGCACCTTTGATAGCTAATCAACAGTATCACTAACCACTGCGTTATCCCCAATCACACCAGTTAGCGAATTAAATTCGGAAGCCTAACAACAAAGTCTGGAAGAAATAACTGTTATTAACTAACCTTAGCCGGATGAAAGGAAGTAGACCAATAGTTCTTTGCCCAATCAAACTGTCGTCGCGTTGCAGGCTTTCGCGCCGGTACCTTCACAACCTAAGCAACTGTATGTGATGGTCGGTGAAAATGTGTGCTCTAGTAACTAGATATGAAGGGATGCATATGCAAAAAGATGAAGACTTGATTTTAATAATAAAGGACGAGTACACACCAAAAGTTATATATTTATTGCTAGGTTGGATTAGCAACACTCAACATCCACAATGGCGATAGGATTTCATGAATCAACAGAGAACTCACAAGTAAGTCATTCTCTGTTATTCCAAATTGTCCCATTATCTCGAGCAAAGCTTCAGAAAGTGGTGCGGTGGCGGGCTGAATTAATATTCGTCCCATCCTATCGACTCTCTTCAAGTGATCGAAATCCGCCGGTATAAGCGGGATTTTCTTTAAAAAAGGACCGATTTTCTTTCTCTCTCTCAAAGTGGTCACGTAGAAGTCGGCCAAAGGCACAGTTTCACCGCAAATTTCCGCGCTAAGAATGGGCAAAATTCTGAAATGACAAGGTATCCTTCTTCAAGAAATTTCTGAAGCCGAAATACGCAAATAGAGAACCGTCAAGCATATTATCCATTATGTGGATATCATTCATAGGTATTGTACTACTGGAAAGCTGAGTAAAAGCTGATAAATTCAAAATGGACATTGCATGGTTCAAGAAAACTTCAAGAAATACTCTGGAACGCTTCGAGTAAGCCATAGTAGCTGTTCCACAGATTGTGAAGATGTAGTGCTCATACTCCTCTAGGTTCTACAGAGTGTAGCTCAAATCTTGAGATGACTGAACACCAACCTCATCTATTCAACCATGCGTATTTCAAGTGGGCGCTACTCGGCATCAGTCAGTGAATAAATCGTCGTGCCCTCTGAAGGAATGGGGCTCATTGGTACCATTCGCTCATTGGAAAAAACTTGCGATACTCTACGTCTGGAAAAACAACACTTTATCAACATATTCATAGAACCAAATATTGCAACACGAGGGAGAAATACGGACTCGGTGAAACACAGAGCAGTGAGTAATGCGCGAGCCCACAGAAAGGGAAATCATGGTTGAATCTGGCCCTGCGTCTAAGTTTTATGAAAATCTCAGCATCGCTGTGGTTATATCTCACATCATACACTGTCGTCAAAAATATAATAGGCAGAAAATAAAAGATTAACAATAAGGACTCGTTCACAAACCACTGACCATTTCAACTGGTGGACAGAAAAGAATCCGTCCATGTATACATTATATTATTATATAAATTATGTATATATAAATATAACATGCACACATGTGCATGCATATGTATACATATATATACATATGTACACGTATATACACGTAATGCATATACATAAGTACATACACATGTATGTATACATACATCCACGTACATCCCAACGGTTTACCGCCTCGCCGGGTCTGGGATGTGTTCTTGTGTGTCGGGTTGCGAGGTACAGATGGGGTACATCCCCTTGGAAGGGTCTCCCACACTGAGTCCGGCGTTTCCACCAGGAAGCCCGGCTAAGTGAACTAATATCAGGATCCATCACCGTCCTAGTACCAAACTAGTCGTATGTTGGCAAATTTCCCTCTGATCCACAAGGGCAGCGATTGTGTGTGTTGGTGATGACCTGGGGCAAACTTGGGTTAGGCTGAACTCGGGACTCGACGGAACCACAATGGCTTGACCAGCAAGTCTCCAAAAATAGAAATTATGCTGGGGCCCGCACAACCAGTGAAGGGCCATCCAAGTAACCAAGTAGCAAATAAGTATATATGTATATATGTGTGTATATATATGTGCATATATATGCATACATATGTATATGTTATGTATATACGTATAAATATATGTAGATATATATATGTGTACATATTATACACATTGGAAACGTCTTAACAGCGAGATTACTATATGGTCGTAACCTCCAGCCACGAAAGCTCAGAATTAAGGGCATTGTGAACCACATATATCCTACTAAGTGCATAACTGTTACTGTTACTACTGAAATTCAGTTTCTAATAAAATCGGAAGACTACGACTTCAGGACGAAGTGAAACAAGAATTAAGGCAAAAGATTGTTCTCAACTTGTTAACCCTGGGTAAATATTCAACATACCACTATATACACCTCATACATCATGTGATCGACAAAACCATTAGAAGGAACCGAAGATTTTCTAGGACCGAGAACTTTCCTCATTAACAAGACCGTGATCAGGACTCATAACAGCACCAGGATAGGTTTATTCGGGCTCAGTGTGATCATTCTCATTGCAACAAGTTCACACGTCACAAATTCTACCCAATACAGCTTCAACCACCTATTTCCTTGGCGATGTCATCGACCACCGGCGACGGAACTGAACTGGAACTGGCTAGCTAAAAAATGTGCGCGCCGCCAACTGTTGGTGGCCATTCGTTGTGGGACCGTCGGATCTTCATTGAGTATCTGCTCCAATGTGGTTTCCCTCGAAGGCGTGGTTAGGATTTGCCTGCTGTTGCGCCGCGGTTGGTATGACGTCACGGGCACTGTTGCTGTTCGGATGGTTGTTGGTACTTACCACGTCGTGCGCTGGTCCGTCCGTCACTAGTGAATCTATCTATTCATATGGTTTTAACAGTTGTGGCCCAAATGGGTCATTCTTGACGTCATAGGTCTCTTTCCATCGATCTTCATTGATTTATTGTCAGTTTTTACCTGAGTGCAGTGGATCGCTTTAAAAGAGCTGACCACATGGCCATGTAGTATTTTCTGCACTAGTTAGTTAAAAATCGTGATCATTCGGGCTCAGTGTGTCCGACAATTTTGGGCTGATGTCGACGGGCGTCGTTCTAATCTGCCCTTTCAAACTCGTTGTTCATTTGTACTTCAAGTCCTTCCCATCTACCTGCACCCCGACCAATTTTCGACCTAATATATTCTTTGACGTGAAATCATCGCTTATCCGATTCGCTGTCGATGGTACTTAGTAATGTAGGTACACTTTTTATGCGTTAAGGGTCGTGATGTTGTTTAACAAATCAGTAAGTCGTTCATTTTCTGTCTACTTGTATCTTACCTCTACACTTGGATGGCTCGTCCTAACTGGTTGTGCCGCTCCCAAGATAATTTCTGCTTTTTCGGCGCTTTGCTGGTTTAGCCATTGTGGTTCTCTGGAGTTCCGAGATCAGCCTAGCCAAACTCTGCCCCAGGTCGTCACCACCACAGGGAGTCGCATCCCCTGTGGATCAGAGGGAGATTTGCCACCGTGCGACTAGTTTGATACTAAGACGGTGGTGGAGCCTGGTGTTGGTTTACTTTTAGCTGGGATTCCTGATGGAACTTATATTGCTTATGTCTGCTTATATCACTTCTATAGAGCTTTCGAAAATGCTTAGCTTAGAAATGTTGGGAATGACCTTCATTTTTTTTGAGAAAACTCGCAAAGGAATTATGGTCGTAATAAAATTGCCATCTTCTGTGTTCGAGTTTTATTCTTCTACTCCTGGGTTTTTCGCAGGAATGGATGCCGCTGATATTAGGTTCATGCGAGGTCTGCTGTTTTTTTTTTTTTTTGATAAACTAGTTATAGCTCTTGTTTTTTACATTTCTTTTTGTTTTTCAGGGTGAGTTCACGTAGGAACTTGTGGTTCTTGGTAGATAGCTGAGATTTTCTTCCACGTTTCTTTGTGGATATTTTTAAGATGGCTTCTTTCTTCTTCGTTGTGTTCTACATTTGAGGGATATCTTATAACACTTGTGGGACTAGTGTTTTATTCTGGAATATTTGCTTCGCTAACTTTACTTGGAATTGCATTTTACATTAATCTTTTCGTGATGTCTAGTGGTCATAGTAAAAATAACGTGTGTGTACCAGAGGAAGGAAAAGTGGTACGAGCGGTATCGATTTTTCCGGAAGGAAAAAAAAAAGCATTCCTCTTTTAAATCTCTCTCTCATGTGTATTGGCCACTTCTCCCTTACAATTGGTTAACTGTCATTTGTCAACCCAAGCCTTGATTAGTAGCACATTATGTTTGACAAGGAAACCATGTTAATGTCGAAACCCATTGTCATTTAACCTCGGTAGTAAAATAATCAATGTGTGTTCAAATTGTTGAGCTTACACGAACTCGATACATATATGTTTGTGGCTAACGTTTGGACGTCATCGTCTTCCTGAGAGAGCCGATGATTCGAGTTAATGGTCCACAATTGTTTCTCCTCTCCATGTGATGTCTTCGGCGTCGTATCGAGTCGGATTTTCCTCAGGGGATCATCCCTTGAATGAGGCATACTCACGCCGCGATGCTCCACCAAGGAAGATACGACTCGATACGAAGACAAAGACGTCACATCGAGAGGAGGGACAACAGTGGACCATCCACTCGGACCATGTGCTCTGAGGAAGACGAAGACGTCGAAACATTAGCCGAATAGACATCTTTATCAACCTCGTGTAAGCTGGACAATTTAAACAAATATCGAAGCCGTGGTAGTAAGTGCTAAAATTTTTTTTGAAGAGCGAATAAGTCTTCAGCGTTTTGTGGATCCCACTGCATTTAAAGGTTATTCTCAAGTAGCTGAATAGTTGTTTTTGTTTTTCAACTACAAGCAAGCTTGGACTCGAAAGAAATCGTGGTAAGCAGACAAAACGTTAACATTATGATTTCGACTACAACCTCAGGTTAACTAGTTTCAATGCCGTTTTGTGCTCACCAGATCGATCCCGCTGACGGGTGATTGCTGATGCCAGCATTTGATAGAAAACTAGCTGAGAAGAACGCAAAGCAAGAGCGCTCGTACTGTAGTGTGTAATACGCGAGCCTTCGGAAAGAGTAATCGTGGTTCGATCTGGTCCGGGTTCAAATTTTGCGAATATCTCAGCATCGTTGTGTTTGTATTTCACATCATATCCTGCCGTGGAAAAATTATAGTAGGCAGCAAATTAAAGATTAACATTATGGTTTCGACAGCAGCCTCAGCTTAATTGGGTTCGCTGCTGATTTGTGCTCTCTAGACTAATCCCGCTGGCGAGTTATTGCTTATGGCACCCTTTGGAGTAAGAAACAAGCTGAGAGAAAGGCAAAGCTGGGGGCCTCGACTGGTGTGGTAGACAACATCGTGAATCCCGGTAAGGGTAATTGGAGGTTTCAAACTCAGTCGAGGTTCTGAATTTTGTTCATATCGCAACATCCTCGTGGTCGTTAGCAAATTGTTTTCGCTTTTTGTGGTTCACCGCCTTATTGTGGCTGGGAAGTGTTCCTGGTTGTCGGGTTCCGATGTACAGCGAGGGGTTCATCCTCAGGCAGGATCTCCCAAGCTGAGAAGGAGTAGTCCAGTGTTTCCATCAGGAAGCCTAGCTGGGAGTAAACCAATACCACTACCGTCTGGTATCAAAGTCGCATGGTGGCAAATCCCCCTCTTATCTACAAGGACTGCGCTTGCCTGTGGTGGTGAAGACCTGGAGTAGGCTTTGGCCAGGTTGACCTCGGGATTCCAGGGAACCACAATGGCTTGACCAGCAGGTCTTCGAAAAATGGAGGATATGCTGGGGCCCGCACATCCAATGAGGACGAACCATTCAAGTATCAAGTGTCGAGTAGGTTTTGTGGAATTGAATGAATAACCCGTCTCATTGAGACGGGGTAGACATGTTGTTCAAAAATGGTCGCAATTTCTAGGAATGGTACTGAATAGGTAGAAAGTTTTGTCAAGTTTTTTAACCGAAATCTGCAACAAGCTTTTCTCCACTGGTATGAACAATTAGTATTCTCTGTTTGTTCGCTCACATTCGGCCATTTGTTCATTCACATCACTATCCTTAGCTCACAGATCTTCTGGGATTTCTGAGCTAAAATATAACTACACTGGAATTCTTGTCGTGTAAATTCCTCTGCTAATATTCATGTACATGATAGTCAAGACGAGACAGGTGTGGAGAATAACTTGGGTGAATCGTAATATCATAACCATGTAGAAGAGGTTTTTTCCCAAGATTTGACGGGAACATATGTTCATTAGCGTTGTCGTCGAGAAACCCTTCTCTTGTTCGCGTAATCCTGGTTCTTGGTTGCATAATAGTTTCAGTTCTGTAAATCGCGAAAGTTTATTTTAATTGCGGTTTAGAGTTCTGTTTTCTATAAGTTCTCCTGTCATGTAATGAAAGAACGTAGCGGAATGGTTGAAGGCATCCTGCAATACACAGGATTGATCCCCACATCAGTGACCCACCAAGCCTACTAGCCTGTTGAGCCCACTAGCCCTACTAGCCTACTAACTTTCCATTACTCTGAGGTCGGAAAAAATTGGCACCGAACTTCTCTGCGAGTGTAGCAGCACTGGCTCGGTATATCCATAGGCCACCGTTAGTCATTGTAAAGGCTAGATATGTGAATTCAGTCACCTCCAAACGATGCTTAATGAAGTCGAATGCTTTGAGCATCCCTCAGGGATTGATCAACGCCAAGGACTCTATCCTTTTCTATCCTCCTGTCAACTGCACAGCGCAAGCTCTATTACGTGTAAAACTGCTTTTGTTCTCCTAAAAGAGAGCAATATCACCCATAGGGCCTTATTTCTTTCTTCAGACGTCATTAGGCACCGCATCGAATTTTCCTTTCAGACAACTTATATCGAATACCAATTTCGTGCTAATTGCAGCACGAAGCCATATTCTGGGAGTGCTTTTTGGTTAATGCTGTGAATGTCTGCGATAAGTTTTCCATTTTTCTTTCGTTTTTTTCTTTTAATAATTGTCGATCGGTTTAAACCAAAGCAGTGATTTCTTCAACGTCGCTCTTGGACAGCCGTTCATAACGTTGAGCTCTTGTCAAAGTTTCTCTCATGAAAATGTTTGGATCACTACACTTAGAATCATCAGCTACATACCGTTCATACATAGTTCATGCCCTTATTTGAATATGCAGTGCGACGTTGTCTTGTCGAATATGAAGCAGCATGTTGATGCGAAAGAACACTTTATTTGCTTCATTTAAAAAGGCGTAGGATGACGGAAAACTACAGGGAACTATCCCGTTCTTTTTCTTACGTCTGTGTCGAAGTCATTTACCAATTATCATGACATCACATCACAACATCGCCATAAAATGCAAAGCAGTATGGTCATAACGAAATCTTGAATCAGTTAAATATTATTTATTAGCTTTGCTCGACTGCCTGTGGTGGTGACGAGCTGGGGCAGACTTTGACCAGGCTGTTCTCGGGACTTCAGGGAACCACAGTGGCTAAACCAGGAAATTCCCGGAGAGGGGAAATTGTGCTGGGTCCCGCACGGCCAGTGAAGACGGGCCATCCAAGTTCCCAAGTAATAGCATTGCTTTGGAACTGTGCTATTATTTTCGAACTCTTTCTTTTTATCTAATGAGGAATAATAATTGTTCATGGTTTTCGAGTACAGTAGTATATTTTGTTGGGAAATTAATGCAGGATTTGTAATCTCATTTTTCCTTGTACGTGTTTCAGCAGTATATTTTTTCCTTAAATACTTTAATGTTTCAAATATATATCAGTGCAAAGCTTTATGGACTTTTCCTCTGTATAATCAATTTGTAGTTTGAAGTGAACTTCGGCAAAGCTGCTTTTACGAATTCATACTTGGACGTAGTGCAGCGGAAACGGCTCGGAACAATAATGACAATAATGAAATATGGAGCCAAAGGGAGTGTTGATGAACGCGTAATATAACTTTGGTTGAAAAAGTTTCGTTAGAGCGAATTCGAAGTTTAAGATGAGGAAGGTTGTTGACGCCAGCTTGCTATCAAAAGCAGTAAATAGAAGGCTTGGCTGGAGGCAAGCAACCGCGGCTGTTCGAGTACTTGCGAAAGAACTTGGTGTAAGCAATTCATCTGTTTCGGAGCATTTAAGGAATATTCGAAAGACGAAGACACTACACAAATGAATTCCATATAAATTGAATTTTAAAAAAAAAGTTGACGTTTTAAGTATCGTTGACCCATCTGGACGACAGAGCGATCCGTTTCTTGTTTGTACTGCGACGTACGGTGAGAAATTGGATACTTTTTGGCAAACGACGAGGGTCTGCTCAGTGCTAGGACCGCGATGAAATCCGCACCAAATGCAAAAGCCGAAATCGCCCCAAACGGTTGTGCCAACCATTTGGCGATTTGCCCTTCTTCCAATACATCAAATCGTGAATCCCAGTTAAGCGATGACGGCGGAAAATTGCATCCAAAAAATCGACGAACGTTCCCAGAACTTAGACGGCTGCGTCCTGCAGTGGTTTACACTCCTGCTGGACACGATAACGCACGATGACGCTTCATACAGCCGATGCTACAATGCAAATAGCAGAACTTCATGCCTGGCGGCTACCACTTCTTAAAGAAACTCGACATTTTTCTGTGCGAAAAATTCGGAGTTTTAGGAAACCTATTTGTGTGAAATTATTTCTGGTTGGAAAACGTATAGCTTCTAATGGTGTCTAATATGGTTGGGAAAAGGCAAAACGAATGACCCGCATGGTGTGGTGGTGAACGCGTTAGCCCTCGGAAAGGGTAACAGTGTGTTCGATCCCCACGGCAAATACCTGCGGTCCTGAGTTTTACAAATATCTCGGCATCATTATAATTGTATTTCACATCATATTCTGCCATAAAAAAGAGTAGACAGTAAACAAAAGTGACTACAAAGTTTGGAGTTCGCTATGGCCTGAAGTATGTACATTGAGATTTAAAGTTTGAAGTCGCAACAATTTCTTGCGGAATTTGATCGTTTATGCGCACGTGTAGCGTAGTGGTCGGAGAAGCTCTCGGATACACTGCGAATCGGTCCCAGCCCGCCTTGGCGACCAACCCCCCATCCTTCCGGAATCGGCAAATTGTTACCAGACTTGTCTGGAAGGATAACAACACTGGTTGGATACATTGATGGGCTACCGCGAGTCATTGTAAAGGCCAGATATGCATTCAGTCGCCTTCAACGCTTAATAAAGTCGAATGTATGGCGCAACATCAGGGATAGGTCGACACTGTGAGCTTCATCCTTTATCCTTTTATGATCGTATACAGTGCACATCATTCCTTATATGTTAGAATACGTCGATATTGTGCATTCGTTTCCTTACAGTCTAATGAAGTAGTTTATTCAGTGTTCACAATGAAGATGGCGTTGCGTGAAACTTTTGTGAATGGAGCCTAGTGGTCACCAGGAAATTCTTTCGTTGGAGGTTCATTAAAATTTGGTGTTGTCGTTTTCTTTCCTGAGTTCCGTACTCGATGTTTTTTGGCTTGGTTGATCTCAAGGGATAGTGGTTTATTTAACGCATCTTTTTTCAACTTTCTTTTGAACTGTATTACCTGCTTTGAGTTTTCCGTATGCACTGCTTTATCTCTTTTAATTCCATCTCATCTACTGTTTTCTAATTTACACAGTTCGTTGGATTAAATTTTTTAAAGCAGTAAGATACTTTAAGACTCTCGAACGACTTAACAACCCACAATGGGTGATCAAAATGGTCGTCTCGAGTCACCATTGAGCTGCCAGGAACTTGAAAAGTCAGTAAGTCCTCCAAGCATCGATCGAAGCCAAGAAAGTGAAACGTTCAGGTTAGTTGAGGGACTAGCTTGATTACGGGTATTTCGTTTTGAAATTGTATAGACCCCATATATTTTTAGGTCCAGCACATCTAGCCCTTTATTAAACACCGAACCCTTGCCGTTGGACGACCAGTCACATTGTCCGTATTGTCATAAAAACTTTAGAAAGGTATGTCTTGGAGGGAATACATAATGAATAAGTAGAAGATATTCTTGTTTTCAGCCACGCGTTTTGGATTGTCTTCATTCAATGTGCGAGGATTGCATTATCGCACAGTTGGATGGGAGGCGAGATGCCCAAATTGCTACAGACTTAGTCAGTCGCAATCCAACAGATTGTGAATTAGAAGTACCAAAATGTTTGTGAACCTTTTCTGCACTTTTTCAGCTTTTTTTTTTAGAATTGAAATCTTCCTTATATGTTTGAACTTCCTCTTTAGTCTTTCACTGCTTTATGATCTCTCCGTATAATCTCTCATTCAGTGAAGGAGCGCCCGACACCTCCCGGTGTGATTAGATGTCCTATATGTGCCCAAGAGTCACATGTTGGTAATGATGTGCGATACGTACACTCGATGCTTCTCGATTATGTATGTGACGTTATTGAAATTTTTTAGTGTGGCGAAGCTTAGCAATTTGTTGTAAAAGTGTGGTACAGATCACACTGTCATCTGTATTCCTTTCTGATTGCAGCGGCTCTTAGTTTGGGATTTCTCAAGAGGATCATGCGATTTAACCCATTCGGTTTTTTTGTCTCACTTTGATTTATTAATTCAGTTCGAAACTTTCAACAATATCTTTATTTGCTTTTAATAAGTTGCGTCTTGTCTGGTCATTTTCTTACATTATTTTACCTTACCCAACTTCCCATCAACTGTGGTGATCTCACCACTTGCATTCGATTCAGTTCCTATCATCGATAATCCTTGAAGATCTTCAAGCTTTTGAATGTGAATTGCGCCACTGCTTGAGAATTTCCGTCTTCGTTATGCCGAGTTCTGGTCGAGTCGATTCTCCCCGGAGTACTAGGATGGCCACTCTAGAACGTTCCCACTTAATTCGCAAAGAGTGAACTGATCTCAGACGAGTCCAGTACCATTTTCACGACCACGGAATAATGAGAGGCGTAGCGAACCTGGGGAAGGGTCGAACTGCTCGTGATGGACTTCGTCACTACCACTATGCCACCTTCCCGCTCTCGTTTCTTTAGTGACGAGAAATTAGTTTATTGCTAGGGAAATCGGAACGCAAGCATTGGATTATTGCTCTAGTTGGTTATCATGTTGAGGATACTATCTGGTTGTTCACAAATGGGTACCAAAATGGGTTGACATTGTAAGGGACAAGTTGTTTTTGTAGGTCAGACTTGCTGAAAACGAAGAGGCTGTTGGAGAGCGGCGGTGTCGTGCCTGCAAATCTGAGCAGCCAGCGATCGCCGTTTGCAAGCAGTGTCAATCCGATCTGTGTTCCAATTGTCTCTCTGCTCATGGTGTGATGCGAATGTTCGAGGGACACGAGGTGCGACTTAAAATTTTTGTTTTTTGCTGTTTAACTAAACGTTTTTTGTTCCGTGAACAGGTAATGACTTACTTGGAAATGGAGCAGCTCGGACAGCGTGGAGAAGTGCGCCCTGTGCAGTGTCCCACTCATTCGCTGCCATATAAAATGCTTTGTGCTACCTGCGAAACACTGTGTTGCAAGGTGTGCCTCGAAATGGAACACCTTAATCATAAGGTGGGGTTCTAATTTTTATATCTATTGTTCGTAGAGTTGTGACAGTGAAAAAGATGCGAATCGTTACCATTTATGTGTTTAATTTCTACTTTTATCCAATGATATGTGTTAGTAGGTTATCTCATGGAGTGTAGGGACTAATAAAAAAAGGCTGTCACCGTTGATCAAACCCTGAGGGATGCGCCGCGCGTTCGACTTCATTAGGCATCCTTGGAGGTGATTGAATGCATATCTAGCCTTTACAATGACTCGCGGTGGCCTGCCGATGTATCGAGCTAATGTTGCTATCCTCCCAGACAGCTCTGGTACCAATTTCCCGACCTCGTAGGGATGGAGGGCTTGGTGAACCTGGAGCGTGAGGATGGATCCCATTTGTATTGCAGGACACACCTGACCACGGCGCTAAACGCTTAGGGACTAATGCCTGAGATATTAAGCAAATTATTGTCTTCACATTTAGGTGGTGGAAGTAAATGCAAGAGTGGTGTACACAATTCAGTCCGAAATAGAAAAGCTTGCTGATAAGGTAGAGAGGAAGGTTGGTCCTTTTTACTTGATCATAGGTTTGTATGTTTTTCTAGTGTTACTTCTATTTCATCTACAGTGCAATTTCCAATGTACCTATCAAACATTTGGCTTTTTAGTGGCGTGACTCAATGGCCGAATGGAGTGCTATTCCGGATCGTTCAGCAAGTCTTCACGAGCAATACGAATCTGCAAAAGTTCATATAGAAATGGCTTTCGACGATTTGCTGAAAGCTTTGGACGAAGCTAAAGCCAATAAGGTTAGTTGATTTTAAGTAAAAATACAATATTGTGGCTTTTATAAACATACCTAGAGTGGATCTTTTCAAATGTATTTTTACATAAGTGCTTCGGTTGCATTTTTTGCTCGATTTTAGCTAGCTCAGCTTGAAGAAACTCGTCAGAAACAAGAAGTCGCCATTGAAGATCTGTATAGAAAGATGAATCTGAATGAAGCGAGAGTAAGCGATGCGTTACGGTAAGATTGTTGTTGTTACGCTACTTGATATAGCACGAGCTATAATATGCGGCTGACTCTTGTATAAACGTTGTAGATTTTCGCGTAATTTGCTCTCAAAGTCCAACGGAATGGAGTTACTGGCCAGTCGACGTAAGGTGGTTCAACAGCTGAATAACCTAACTCATACGATGCCTGCTCTTGGTATTCAGGTATTGGTTTGACATATGTCCAACATTTCTCATCTTTTTTGTTGTTCTCCATTCATAATTTAGGTTGAACTGGAATATCAACCATTGTCAAAAAAGCAACTAGACACACACATGAATGCCATTTGTGGAAATGTAATAGGTGAGTAAAAACAGCGTTTTTAAACGAAGCCTGTTCTGTGGTCCATTTTCTATTGAATTTTTCTGTTTATTCATTTTAGCATAACATTCCTGCTAAAGACTGGTGTGTTGCCATATCTCTTGAGGGGACAATTTTTTTTTGTATTACCTGATTTTAGGTCGAATGGTGTCGGCTAATGTGAAGGAGACAATAACGATTCAGCAAACAGCTTCGCCACAGACGCAACCATCATCAGAGTATACACAAACTAGAGTAGGTTCAACCTCCCTATCAAGCATATCCGATTGGGGTCGACCACTGAGCAATGGGCATGGATCTATCAACGATGTGGGTGCAATTGGAGTGGAAAGGAAAAAGTCTAGGTATGTATTTCAAATGTTATCTTTTATTTTAGTTGACGTCATCGCAGTGAACGTTTTTGTAGCACGTCTTCCACATGGGGTAGTGGAATAGCACCATCGCGAATATCCGGGCCAGGTGGTGACACATTTGGATGGCCTCCGAGCAGTCATCCACCGGATCTACCGTCACCTTCACCTCCAATTCCGTTAAAAGATATTGTACCACCTGCCTTTCCTTCTAACGCTACAGGACTAATTGGTCAACCATCCAACACAAATTCAGCGGTGACCACTTCTGGAGGCAACGTATGTAATTGCTTGTCTTATTTGGCACTTTTTGAAATATTCTCTCAGTGCGAGCCACTTGGAATACTTTGAAAAACAAGTGGTTTTCCCGAATATCGTGAAGAAATCCTAACTCTTCGTTAATATTTCGTTTTGAAATTAAAATCTGTTGATTACAACGGCTTTCGAATAATAGGTGTTTCTTCCCAAAATATTTGACTGATTAGCTTTTTAGCTCATAGCGTGCTTATTCTTTGAAGTTTTGTTGCAGCCATTGCTAACGGGTGCAACAAATTCTGCGTCAATGGTTTACAATAATTATCAATGGCCTCCATCTTCGAATCCCGCCCAAACTGCAGATCTGCGTCTGTTTCCACCTATGTCACATCCTTCATCGGTTGTCGGAGCCAACCAATTAAAGATAGCTCAGGCTCAAGCAGCACAGGTACAGTGGTGATTTCATTCTATTGTGATCAAGAAAAAAAAAGTCAAAGTCGCTACTATCTCGGTATTTCAGCTCCAAGCAGCACTTCTTCTGCAGAATAACGGACTTGCTAACCCTAATCTTCTTATGGTAACCCTTTATTGCCATTTATTAACCTTCTAGTATCATTCGATGTTTGTTCATGATGATTATTATAGGCACGTCTACGATCGTTGGCTCCTGGGGTAGATCCACTTCTTGCTCTTGGAGGATTGTCACTTGGTGGAACAGGAGATGGAAATGCTTTACTTGGTGGTGGGACACAAAGGACGTCGCCACAAGAGTTCCTTAACCCTGCACGTGTGCCAGAGTTGAAAATACATAGGTCATTCGTATCTTTTTTATTCTATTCGTCTATTTGTTTGAACGCATTGAAATTTTAGTGTGTTTGGAACAAGCCAGCAAGGAAGTTCAATGCGTGAACTTCACTGTCCGTCCGGGTTTTGTTTGTCGGCCAGTGATGACATTCTCATAGCAGACACCAATAATCATCGCATTGTTGTATGCGGGCCTCCGCACCCATGGAAAATTGGTAGACCTGGGACCGTGAGTTTTTAATGTTGTTGACATTCGACCACTTATATTAATCTTACTGTAGTACAAGATTGTTTGATTTGGAGTGGTTCAGTGATTTTGTTAGATTCGTGGATCTTTCACCGATATCATATTTTCTAAGGATGACGGACAGTTGTGCTTTCCGCGAAAAGTGATTGCATTGAAAGCCGATATTACCAGATACGCTGTACTTGACAAAGGTGTGGATGGTAAGACGCGTGCACAACTTTTCGATCAACGCGGCGAGTTTATTAAGCGCATCAATATGAGTGAGTACCAAAATTTCTATATCAGTTATGTTCCAGTGGTGTAAAGAAATCCATAAGTGTTTTAGTGCCGCTGGTACCTCGTGGTGGAATAGAAGTGTCAGCTGCTTCATGCACATCCACTGGATACCTTCTACTCGTTGATACCAGTGGGGTAGTGTACTGTATTGGTGGGAATGATTGCATTTTCGTGAATGTTTTTGCAGTGGTTATAGAATTTTTACTATACGTGTTCAGATGTGGATATACCGCGAGTGGTTTTCTGGTTTGACGCATCATCACACCTCGGTGAAGCCAGCGATGTGGCTATTTACGAGAAGAACGTTTACATCACGGACTTTAAACATCATTGCGTGCAGGTTTTCAATACGGATGGTGTGTTTTTTTTTTGTCTTTTCCGCACTCTGTGATGAAAACTTGGATCTTGTGAATTTTTTTTTCCTGTTAATGATCTTGGAGAAACGATTGTAACCATAACACATCCGGAACAGGAAATTCCTGCATGGATAAAGGATATAAGTTAAAGCATTCGGCGTTGATCAATCCCTGAGGGATGCGCTATGAATTCGACGTCATCAAGCACCCTTAGAGGCGATCGGATGCATATATGGTCTATATAAAACTTGCTGCTCAGTAATGCCAAAATGGTTTGGCACCAATTTGCCAATTCCCAAGGATGGAAGGCTTGGTGAACCAGGAGGGCGGCATTGAACCAACGGCCACAGGCGTATTGCAGGTCAACTTTAACCACTGCGCTGCACGTGCGCTCTTTTTCAGGAATGGTGGTAGTTTTTGCTGACTGACAGATCACTCAGAGGTTAAGAGTTGATCGTAAATATGGACTGCCATATTATCTTTTTTTTCTGTGAAACATTAATTTATCTTCAGTAATCACAAGGTTGTAATACAGCAAATGTTTACTTCCGTACAAAAGACACATACAACACAGTAGTAGCTGAAATTTCGGCAGTATAGCCTTCTTCAGGACCTGGAAGGGTATACTGATATGCAATTTACTACGCCAAACGCTTCTATAACACAGGCAGAAGGTTGAAAACCTATATGGAAATCACATGATTAACAACTTCTCGAAAAATCCACCGTCTTTCACATGTTTTCCACTGAAGGAAGAACAGCCGCTTGGAGTCGCATATGGTTGAGCACCACACCACATCAAAAGTCGATGCAAAGGTACGGGGCTGGATCATGTGTGTGTGTGATCTCCGGACATTGCTACATGCTAATCCTTCCAGGATTCTGGGCATTTATCCGTAAAGCCTGAACAGTTTTGCGTGCTTGTTGTTTTGGCATCCCGTGCGAGGATAACTTTTATATTCAAATCGTCTCCGCGTCTTCGTTGTGTTTTTGTATCCTATGCGTCCGTAGTGGACGGATACATAAAGGTCTGCCTATTTTGCCAATATTTTTATTTCCGCAAATGGTATATCGTACCTGGGCTCACGGAATCACCGTCCCTGCCAAAAGGGCTAATTACGCGGTTGTTTTTCACATAGACGGTCATGTAGGAAGTTGCGAACTAACTGACGACGAAGGGTAACCAATAGTATTTCAACTATCGCTACCGATTTTTCTAGACCTACCCTTATTAAGCATCGTTTTATAGCTACACTTACTTCATCTCTTATAAAGGGTCAGATTAACGGGATTTTTTTTGGTCCAACTGTTCGTTTTGTGACGTCGCTTTCCATCTAAACTTATCTCTTGAGGTTACTATTTTGAAGCCATCAGAGATGTCTCTGCGGTAAGGTCAGAGTTACTGTTGTGTTGTTTATGTTTTCGTACGGAAGTAAACGTGTGATGTATGGTAGCCTCGCAGTTGCTGAACAAGAAAGCGGCGCATTAGTAATCCAATGCCGAGGTTAATAGAAAATTGGTCCCGGATACTAATTTGTCGTAGAAATTGTTCGTCATCACAGTTTTGAAAAAAAATGAAACAAAAGCGAACATATATTTTACAGCCAAAAGATTTTGACTTTGAATGGTTTTTCATTTTGATTAAAGCTTGCTGTATTCCTCAGAACAGCATGGTTATTTAAAGTGGAAAATTAAAATTATTTCGAGCAAATGCACATTAAATCTAGTACATAATTGCTGCGAAAGTGGAAGAAATGCATGCAGACGTGTATGTATTTCTGAGCTCTTTTCGTTGCACCAGTTCATGGAGCATTGTTACTATATGTTTTAAGTTATGTTTTAGGTCAATTTATTCGTAAACTGGGTGAACCGTCGCAGACGCCTTATCCAATTGGAATCGATGTATCGAAGAATGGCGATATTCTTGTTGCTGATACACATGGCAACCATCTTCACGTAGTGGTGTTCACAGCTGATGGTACACTGCAGCAATCGTTTACTCATAACGAATTTCGGGTAAGTAGTTTGATGGGTTTATGTTCAACTGCACTACATTGCACATTGCGCATCCCTTACACATAGCTACTTGCTATGTGAAAAGATCATCGATGATTTTCCTGTTGTGAACACCTTGTTGAGCTCAACCTATAATGGATCTTCTGCACAGGTCGCATTAAGACGCATATCGTCGTTCGCACACTTTGTTTCCAAATCAATCTTGGCGTGTACGGCGAGGTCTCTGTTCTTCGATCGTTGAAAGGAAATTCTGAACTTCAGATTCTCTTTATGCCACTTACGCGATAGGGAGTGCCTTCTCGACAACGCATTGTACAACACTGATAAGTCGCATCCTGCTTGTAATAGCACCCAGGTTTTCGAGGTGTAAATAAGGAAAGGAAAAAATTGTTCAGTCGACAAACGCGAGCAAAGTCATGTATCGTTTTTGCTCTTCATTGTGTCCATGGTACACTTGCAAGATTTCCAAGCCGCTCATTTCTTGTTACCGTGGAGCTTACTGAAGCGTCATGTTGGCATTTCGATCGATTTATGTATAGTTAGAGCGTTTTGAGGTTTTTCTTTTCACTGAGAGCGAATCAGGCACAAGAAACACATGCGTTTTTTTTTCGAAATCTAACCATGTCCACTTTGTCCAAAAGCGCTTTCGAAGCCGGTTAGCGTTTATTTCCTTTGGCTTTTGCTCGATGCTATAAAAATGATCCCATCAACAGAGAGAAGATAACGTTGCTGACAAATTGTATAAAGGGTTTTGGTACCATCTTTTTTTTTCGATTTGTAATAAGTCTTTGTATGTTTGGGAGCTATTTTCAGCTGTCTCGTTGTGTTGGACTACGTGTTGCTGGTAGCGGTCATGTTGTCACTCTGTGTAAGCACAATCACACATTGTTTGTTTTCAAGCCACTCTATATTCGCTGAACTGGAGAGCTGATAATGAAAACGGTGCGATCATCATAATTGAGGCTCGAGAAATTCGTTAATCTTATGTGGTTTGGCGCAGGTTTTATTCCAACTCTTTAAATCTTCACGTTCATTTTTTTTCTACTAGCATCATTTATTTGACGCTCCTGTCCTCTTTTCTTTTTCGAGTCTTTTCGAATGTCTTGTTTAAATGTTTTCGTTCCATCTATTTTAGTGCTAGGGCTTCCGTTCATGCCATTATTGCTATTGTGTTGGTCTGTTATTTCTGGACGAGTTACCATTTTTTTCGGTGGTTCGGGTCAGATATTATTGTATAAGTGTGTGTGTGCGTGTTTGTTGCTCATTCTAGATGTGGGGTGTTTTTTGTACATATTCAAAGGTGTTTCTACTCCGTCGATGCACAAAATTAGTGTTTTACACCTATCAGGACTTTAGTTTGAGACTGATACCCTCTTGTTTTTTTGGTGTAGTTTCCTTTTTGAGCGGCAGATTATTTTTTAGGAGATGTGGTAGTTAGCCTTTCATGCTTACTGTAATTTTCATAGTTAATTAAACCTGGGGTATCCGTAGAAGCCGTAGCATATTACTTAAAGACTAATGAGTTTTACTTGTTTATTCTGGATGTATGTTGTTGTTTCTCACATTTTGTTTTAGCAAAAATTTAACCGGATATGGTAGGTGTAATATTCAAAAGAGACATTGCATGACATTATTAGTAAAAGATCTTATTTATCCCAGGTTTGATGCTGTTCTTAGGTTATAAGTTCGTTTTCCTACGGTGGCCTTTAAGTGGATATTTCATCTACAATCATTCCGTTTGTGCTGTTTCGTTTTTGGTTACTTCAAAACAATCTTTCACATCATACGGTAATAGATTAGTTATATGTTGACTTCTCGTCATTGATCATTTCATTTAGTTATTTTTTTGTTAGTATTATTACCGGCAGTCATTCTAACATTGTTCTTCACTTATGCATTGTAATTTATCACCTGGATAATTTTTCTAGTGTAGGGTGATGTCTTTAAGTACTGTTGAGTATGTCAAGTTTAGCTGACCACTCCTGTTAGCTCAAGAGATATACTCGTGGTCGTTCCTTTATCGTAGTGTACCGAACCCATGCCCGTTGATTTTTAACTTCTCATTTCTCTCCACGTCTAGGTTTTACTCACCACATATATTTGTTTTCATCACTACTTCAATTGTGCGTCTCCATTTTGTTTCTCTCTTTTATTCAAGAGAGGGAGCGCAGTCGTTGAATACTATTTACTTGGGCTTTTGCGCATCCTGTTTTATTTATCCTTTGTTACAAAACTCTCCCCTATCGTAACGTGGTGTAGCTCTTCTTCACGTTATTCTTTCATCATCATTGTCCGTTCCATTGTACTATTCTCACCATTGTTGTTATTGGAGCATTCGCGCGTAGTCACTTAGTTATTTGTTCTAAGTTCTTACTTTTTCCCCCGCCTATATCTGAAGAACATCAACGTTTACGTCAGTTCTTTATGGAAATGCGATGCTCTTCAGTACCACTGTAGCTTTTCATCAAAGAATTCTACTCATATAGTCGGAACTGACGTAGATGTTATCGTCCCTCATTAGTTAGTGTTAATTATTTGATATTGGAGCTGCACAGAATGGTGTGACCGTACTTGTTTGGATTTTCATTTTCATCCACTGGGTCACGATCATTTGATTTTATTTCCTCTCTCTTTTCTTTTTAAATCAATGTCTAAACACTTCGTGCTGTTGAATACAGCGCTAGTTATGGTTATTATCCCCCCTGGTCACAATGGAATTAGCCTATTTGGTCCGTATTTGTATATGTTTTTATCCCTAATATCATCGCTAACTCTGCACTGGATGGTCATATGCATGCATTCGTTAGCCGTGTTTTCTTTCGTTCATCCACTTCAATTATGTGGTCGGTCATGTTAACCGTTTTTTTGTATTACTTTGTTACTGTACAATTCTCTCATATCTAACCAACTGTTATTTGAGATTACTTATTATTATTTTTAATAACATATAAGTTGAAATATGATTTAAATACATGTATCATTTGTATTCTGGATCTAGTTATTTTTACTCGGCTTTCTGGTTCGGCTCTCATCTGTTTTGAAGATCATTTCACTATCACGTGGAATTTCATATCTGTGTGTTCAACTAGTTTTGCTACATGTTTATTTACTAAGCAAATAACAGACGTGATTTTTCTTTTATTAACTGCAGTTCCATCAATAAACAGTTCTGTTAAGTTGTGTATTATCGAAGACATAAGGTCTTAGAATGGGACATGGATATTACTAAGAAAGTCTTTATTGTTGTTGATACAGTAACTGCTACAACCTGTTGTAATAGATAGGTAATCATTGAGGATGAACGTAGATTTGCGTAATGAAGCGCGCCAAGTGCTCGATGATATGAAATGGTTGTTAGTAGACGTGGATGAAGAGAAAAGGTAGGTTGTAACTGTGATAATCCTTTTTTTTAACATGGCATGGAATGTTGATGCCTTTGGGATTTGTGGAGACCAATTCTGTTAACGACTGTTGAAATAGCATTGGCTCTGTCTCAGAAATTTCTTTACGGTTTCATTTGACTGTGTAGTAGCACATCTGATGATTTGTGTTTTGTAATAATCTGTTTTCGTTACTCGTGAAGTAAGATACACGGCTTTGGAATCGATGAAAAAGCGGTCGCTGGGCCACTACAAAGTCGTTAGGGAGAGGTGGAATGCATTCGACCACACTTCTGTGCTTGGTGAAGACAAATGCATGAGGCATCAATCAAGGATTGATCAGCGCCAAGTGCTTTGTCTTTCATCCTTCTAAACGTTGCTTATTAGTTGTTCCCCATACCACCTAGCGATACAGGGATTCCTAGAAATTAATATCCCATTTCAACATGTTTTTCGAAGTGGCATATCACAACTTGGAATGGACTTTATTAATGGAAATGAAAACCCTCAATATGTGCTCATTTGTTGGCAACGAGAAACATGCTCACTTGCACCGGTTGGAAGGCTGGATTTTTTCGGTGCGATGGAGTTAAAGGCAGTTTCGGCTTTGGCTTGGTTTTTGAAGGATTCGTCGTAGAAGATTCATCTATTCAAGACGCTTGAAGCAGTTGTAGTCAATAAGCAAGAGGTACGATAAGTGTGGTGGGTGAGGTAGAGTTTCGTATCCCAACCTTTGTTTGGCCGCGCGTTATCATGGGTAAGGGTTGGTCCCTTTCTGTTGACCAATACGGGATACAGCAGTTGGATTTTCTTGTGCCTAGTGTCTGGCTGCTAGACGTACTTATTGGCTGTACCCGTTTCGCTGGAATTTATTAAGCTGTGATGGATTAAACCAACAACGAACCGCCAAGATAGCGAAACTTTCATTTGATGCGATTGCAACTTTGCAAAAGGTTGCGGAGCTTCATCGCGGTCCAGCCACTGAGCCAAGCCAATCGTCGCAGCTTATCGTAGAGGATGCATGTTTTGTCGTGCATTAGAATACGGTCAAGAAACGGACCGCTCTATTGGTGCAGCAGCAAGTTCTTAAGCAAGTTCTCCAACAAATGAACGTGTATTTTCTACCACCAAATCGTTTCAAATAGCTGAAGGGCGTCAATGACCTCCCTCTTGTTGAAGCTGGAATTCGCTACGACGAAATTTCACGAGCCAGCGTTGCATTGTTTGTTCGATAATATTTTCTAGGCTTTATATTCCATTAATGTTTCGAGCTGTTAAACTGAGCTGTTCCGCGTTTGAATTCGTAGGAATAGGTACGTCGAACCTTTCAACGGTTGACCGCGTCATCGTGGTTGGGAGGTGTTCCTGGGTGTCGGACTGCGAAGTACAACGGGCGATTCATCCCCCTAGCAGGGTCTCCCAAACTGAGGAGTCCGGTGTTTCAATTAAGTAGCCCAGCTAAGAGAAAACTAATACCAGGATCCGTCACCGCCCTGGTACCAAACTACTCGCATGTTGGCAAGTCTCCCTCTGCTCCAGAAGCGCGGCCATTGCCTGTGGTGGTGACGACCTGTGGCAGACTTTGTCTTGGCTGATTTCGGGGCTCCAGGGAAACACAGTGGCTAAACCAGCAAAACTGAAGAAAATGGCAGTTATGCTGAGGCCCGCACAACCAGTGAGGACGGACCATCCAAATACCCAAGCAGGACACGTCGAAATAGTTGGTTTGACATCTGGTACTCTAACTCGTAAAAATCTTTCGAAAACGCTATTTATATGTTAATTAAGTTATGCGAAGCGAGTCTGCACAAGATGAGCTTATCAGTGATTTATGATAACATAGCGTTTCAAGAAAAATTTTCCTTAAACGTATACAAGAAAAGTGGCATTACGAATTTCAGAGAGTAGCTTAATAAATTTTCATATGTTAAGGCTCTTAGAAGAAATTGTTGGCCGATTTGTCATGACTGGTCAAGGAAATGCATGTGTGGTGATTGGGAAACGTATTAGTGGTCGTACTACTACAGTGAGATCTGTGGTCGCAAAATTCGGTCTCTCTGCAAAGTTACATGTCATAAGTGTGGGTGCGTAAAATTTTTTGTTTAGAAGAAAACCATAGTCATTAGTCCTTACTGCTGTCTGTTTTCATATTCTGTCAACTTTTTTTTGTAGCTCAGCTTGGATCTGACAAAAATGCCGTGAAATTGTTAATGGACGAGGACTACACTAAGGTAGGGGATTTGCCATAATTTGTTTTATTGATCACCGGTTGCATCAGGTATGTAAGCAATTTGTTCTGGAGGCCCATCGCTGTACAGGCGTTGTTATACAGAAGCCGAGCAGTTCTGTCAGCTCTCTATTCACAGTGGCTGCAAACATAGAGAAATATTCTGAGTGTGGGTTTTTTTGGCTTAAGTAATTCCTATAAGATTGTAATTCCCAATTCTTAGAGGATGACTAGGATCACCGTGATTGTGTGCCAGTTTTCGACTGAGTTGTCAGGTCCTCGACAAAGCAATAGTAGCTTGCGCTCGAGTCTGAGAGAAATCGGAACATGACAATAAAGTGTCTTCGTTATACGAGACCAGGTGAATTGTAGACTCCAGCGCATCTACCATTCGTTTCGTTTTTTCGCAGTCGTTTATGATGGTGGCTTGATTCGACCCATGCTGGCGAATACGAATTTCATGCCGCGATCTGTAAAACATCGGCGGCTCCAAGTACAGTTGGTGGGTTTTATCTAAAAAACCGACTTTCATTAAACCTCGGTAATATTAACTAATAATTTTGTATATGATTGAACTGACACGAGGTTGGTATAAAAACTTTTATTGGGTTAACGTTTCGGCGCTTCACGTTCTTCAGTGCTGCGTTGATAAGAGTCGATGGTTACAGCTGGTCGTTGTCACGATGTAGACGTTCATTGTCGTATATAGTGAAATCCAGTCAAGGGAGCACCACTAATGTATCATAACTTCGCATTCTAGCTAGATGTTGTGAGTGCTGATTAAATTTCAGAATGCATCGTTCAAGCGCCGCGTGGGTGGTGCCCTTTTTTGACGTGGTTCAAGTGTTAGTCCACGTTTCTGCTGCATAAGAGAGCGCTAGGAGGACTGTTGAAAAAAAAGGTGAGCGCGGAGATTTAGGCCGTTTAGCTAATCGGTGGCTTCTTTGGATGGTCCGAATGCGACCCCTCCTGCTTTCCTTCTTCTGTCTAATTCCTCATTAATGTTGTTCTCCATGTTCGTTGGTTGTGAAAGGTAAAATACGGGCATGGGTTCATCGTGAACTTGGTCTTCTTCCTATTTATGCGTAGTCCAGTCTTTTTTCTCCACATCTTTGAGCTCATTGATCATCGTCTCTACTTTGTTGACACTTTTTTGGACGTTGCTGGCGAAAAGATTTGATAGGATTTTTCCATCAATACGTTTAACTTTGTCATCCCCATTGAGTGACATTATCCAATGCAGCGCAACAATAAACTGCTTCGGTGATATGGTGTCGCCTTTTCGAACCCATCTTCCTTTGGGTTTGGTAAGAGGTCGATAGGTCATGGTACAATTTCGGTAACAATCAGATAGTGTTCTTACATAGAACGGTACTACTGATTGCTCGACAAACACTGATAGGATTGCATTCTTTTGTTCGCTGTCATAAGCATTTTAATGCTCGACAAAAGTCCAGACTAGGTGAAGGTTGTGTTCCTGACAAACTTGTATGACCCTGGACACAGTTTTGATATGGTCCATGCGGCAAGATCTCTGTCTAAATCCGGCTTGCTCAACCATTGATGTCTCATCTAATGTTTTTCATATGCGCGAGAGGATCATTTTGGTGAAGAGTTTATGGAGTACACTCAACAAGCACATCGGACGACAGATACGAAGATTCCTTCGGTCACCTTTCTTGGGCAAGGTGACTGTGCACGACATCGTCCACTGGTCTGAGAGAAGGTATCATGTGCCTTGCGAGGAATACATTTGGAGTATGGCTTCCAGCTTTAATTTTTCGTGATTTCTTTCGCAGCTCGAACCTCTGAGAGAAGGATTTCAAGTGGTTTTTCTGTAGCGGGATTTTAGGGTACGGGTTGTAAAACGGAAAGTGTTGCTGTAGATCTCTTGCGTTGTCTATTCCATATCATGGCGGGAAGTTTTAGTCTGGCCATATTCGTTCATCAGAACTGACATCGAGGCATTATAATCGTACAAGTACTGAAGGCATTTTTTCAGCTTCGTTCTTTTTATGCTGTTTGTACTGACTAGACTACCACGAATAAAGCCATTTTTATGAGCGGAGTAACCATTCAAGCGCTAAGATATATGCTCGCGAATAACATAGAGCACAGTTATCGGAAGCGATCCTTCTCATGAGCCTCTGATATGGTAATCGGAGCGTTATTTTTGGTCAGCGCTTAACTTCGATTCTGTCACCGATTTTCATGATTTTTTATATGTAATATGCTTATCCAAAAACAGTTTGAGAAATCATTAGTAACACGTCTGTAGTTAGGCTTGTTATGGTAATCCACGGTATTTCTTTAAGTTTCTTACACCTAGTTATGAATGCTTCATCCCTACTTTGGGATAAGTTACTAGTGGCGGTATTCTAAAATATAACCAAATGCGACTTTATTTAAAGCACTAACACCATTTTGGCTCAATTCCGATTTTTATATGTATATGAGGCGCGAAGCGGCGCGTGTAGAGCAGTGGTCGGAGGTGCCTTGCAATACACTTGGGGCCGATCCCTGCTCCTCAGACTCATCAAGCCTTTCATCGCTCTGGGTTCAGCAAATTGGTACCAGATTTGTCTGGGTGAATAGCACACTGGCTCGATACATCGGTAAGCCACCGCGAGTCATGTAAAGGCCAGATCTGCAGTCATTACCAAGGATCCTTTATGAGGTCGAATACATGATGCATCCATCAGGATAGGTCAACTGCGAGAGCTTTATCCTTTTATCCTTATAAGGCGCGAGATCGTCTAGAAGAACATAGATGTTATTACTACATGCTTTTTTTCAGGATTGTTTACTTATAATCGAAGATGCGGATGAGTTGGCAACAAGGCAACGGCAGTCATTGCTTTATTTGTTGCTGGATACAATTAGAAATGATTGTGGTCGTCAATGGCTGGTGTTTCTTATGGTGCAGCACCAGGTAGAGATGGCAAATTACTTGCAAAGTCTTCGAGCTGTAGAACAGTGTGACAATCACTTTGACGTGATGGGTGTAATACCTCACAAAGCAGAAATATCCGGCAAAAACACGTTAGAAGCAATCTGGATTTTGCCATTAGATGAATTCCCAGCAGATTTGTTATTAATGCATGTTAAACTCATGTCAATTTATAAGTTCTAGAATTATTACTTGGTCAGTGGTGTAACCTGTTGGTGAAGCATTAGGCTCAATAGGGTAATGATTTCTGTAAGAAAAGTACAAAGCGTTTGGAGTTGAGCTATCGCTTACGGATGCACCGTGCAATCCGCTCCATTAAACAATGTAGAGGTAATCGAGTGCACGTTTCGCATCTATGATTACTTTCGTTAGTGTAGCGATGTGTCAACTCAGTGTTTTCGTCCCTCCAGACAAGTCTGGTGCCAGCATGCGTAAACGGATGTGTACCTTGGTGAGCCAGGATTGCGGGATTGAGCCAATAATCACGTGTGTATTTTCGGACAGCATTCATCACTGCTTGACAGGCGATTAGTTTAAACCACAACAGTAGATTTGTACGAAGATGGAAGACGAAATAAACAAAGAGCAAAGTCGAAGATGTGCTCTACCGTAAGCATTGTTCGCTAATAATTGGTGGGCTGATTAATCATTTGTGTTTAAATTGTGACACAAAAATAAGTTATGGGATTTTTCGTCGTAAGATCGTTTCGCCACGAAGGGAACGCTTTCATTTACACATCAGAGAATCCTCGTCATTGAGTACCTAATCTAATAATTGTGAAAAAAGTGTATGCATTACTAATTTGACTAGTAACAGACATACTTTTGCCTTCATATTGCGAATGTAAAATGATTGCGGCGTTTGTAGTGCAGGTTAAAATGCATGCTCTGTGATGCACATTGTTGGTTCGATGTCTGGTCTCGGACTCCTACGCTTCTAGATCTCTTAAGGGTCGGCTCCAGCTGTGCAGTGCAGGTGTGGGGAGAGAAATAATGGCTCGATATATCTGTGGATCCTCAAAAGCTATTGTTTAAGGCAAATATATATTCAGTTATCCCTAAGATGAAGTCGAAAGCATTGCGTAGCATTTAAGGATTGATCAGTGCCGAACGCTTTTGTTTCATCCATAATGTTTTATGTTATAGTCATCTTTAAGTATGCTTTTAAGGATTTCGTCACATCATTGGAGAAAAGAGTGCGATCTCGTCTGCCAACTGCTCGCATTGTATTTCAATCAGCGCTCAGCCTGGGTGACTATGTGGCAGCATTTAGAAAATTTTTGGGTAAAGAGAAGATAGAAAGCTCACCTGGTAGGTTCTCACGACTTCATTTTCATTAGAACTATTTGATGTCACGGTTTATGTCGGTGTAATCACTTTTGACAAATAAAGGAACCTATTTGTCCACGAAAAGAAAACTATTACAGGCATTAAAAGTTTTTCTCCTTTCTAAAGTTGTAAACAAAGTCTACAAGTTTAAAATGTCGGTTATATAACATTTTACTCTTTTACCATTAATTCAATTTAGAGGTATTTAACACAGGTGATTGAGCAACTTGAAAACATTATTGAATAGTAAAAGGATGAAGCTCTCGGCATTAATCTATCCCTGAAGGATGCGCTATATATTCGACTTCATTAAGCATCGTTGGAGGTGATTGAATGCGTATCTGGTCTTTAAAATGACACGCGGTGGTCTACCGATGTATCAAACCGGTGCTGCTACCCTCCCAGACAAGTCTGGTCCCAATCTGCTGACCCCAGAGGGATGGATGGATTGCTTGATGAGCCACGGGCGAGGGGAGCGGTCCCATGTGTGTATTCCAGGGCGCCTCCGACCACTGCGCCATACGCACCACATTATTACTGCTTTCATTGGATTGAACGCTGATGCTATTTTGCAATAAAACTGCACATTCGAATTTTTTACTGCCTTAGGTTAAATTGATCGAGACTTTAACATTCATCTACACTCTGTACTCTCATTTTACTTCCTATGCCTCAATTTCGCCTAGGAAATCCCTTTTCTAGTATTAATTATTTTTCCAATTTAGAGAAATCCACCTTTTTTGTTTTCAGAATGGTCGGAGTTTGTGGAAGATTTTATGGCTGACTCGGGGGTTATGGCTGAATTGAACTATATGTATTCAGTACGTTCTACCTCCGTTTTCTTTTTTTGCTTAGTTAATTCGTTCTAAATTTCCTCAGCTTAAGTCCTTTTTTTCCACCCTGATGTAAAAAAAAATTTTCCTTCGCAGAATAACCGTTTAGTTTTTGTACTCTTAGAGCCGCATTAGCACAATACTTGAACTGTTTTTTTGATGTTCATGAATTGTTTTTTCGTCCATAGATTACGTTTTTGAGACGGACAGCTCATATGCATTGCTGAAGAGGGTCACAAGTGTTTTTTTGTGCCTTTATCTGTCAGATGAGAAAAGCAGACCAGCGTACGAACTTCTTACGGAAGCTGTAGGGATGGTAATGCCTAGAGAACACTCATTGGAGAAGATAATAAGATGTAAGTGAATACTGATTTATCCTAGGTATAAATGTTGAGCTTGTATGGAAAACCTCAGTTGGAAATGTACTAAGAAGCTGTCCAGCATTTATCTTTCAGCATTTTCTTTGTGGTCATTGTGTGTTCTCCTCTGTGTCTTTCGGCGACTACGATCTAGTCCTGTCTCTGCTGCTGTTGGATATCGGAAAATAATTCAAGGTACCACTGCCTTCGTATTTTTATATTGCTTCGAGTTATTGTGTTTCTGACCATATTATACTATTGATCGGTATAGGACGATGTTCACCACTGATAAAGGTGTTCATCATGCTTGATATGATTAACATTCCCGCTTCATTCCGATTCGATGGTAGTGGTCCTACTTCTGTGTTCTGCGTTGTTCTCGTATTATTTATTCCTTCTGCATTACTGACTGCAGTCCACTTCGATGGTAACCCTGAAAAACTGCATTCACTGCTTCTGCTGACTGCAATTAGAATTGTAGCATATTGCAAGAAGATCCTCGTGTGTTCGCTTCTCTTTTCCGTGTCGTGAAAACGCTCCATCGGTCCAAGCAACACTAACTGTACTGCTGTGTCCCTCATCCACAACCCTACAAATTTACTTAGTCGTGACATATATAGGTGATTACCGCGCACACCTTCATACCATTTGTCTTTCATTCATAAAGAATTTGTTTTTTGAAGAAAATGAATTTTTTTTTAGATTTTCGACGTATTGGTAATACTGTAGATAGTCGAGTTCGAGTTACATCAGACCTTTCTGTTTATAAAGAACTTGATCGACTCGCAGAACTTGGAATATTAGTTGCTGATCCGAAGGCAAATAATATGGCTTTTAGGTGAGAAGAGTAAATATGAAGTTTAGCAAAATGGGGAACATTTGAGTCATGAAGAGTTCCACGTTTTAGCAAGTGTTAAATGAAAACTTGGAGGATTCTCATTCACGGCTTTGTTATCACGTTGACAGCAGAAAATTTTCAAATTGACACTTGACACTTGAATTACTGCATTTGCCAACGATATATTTGTATTTGTATGTTCTTTCTTTGAAAGGATTCATATTGAAGTTATAGGCGTTGCTCACTGAACGTTCACACGAAAACTCTGGACAAAATTCTTCGAGAGATTAAATTACCAGCTTCTATCGAATACTGGTTCGACACTCAGCCAGTTGAATGAGGCTTTCTGCTCTTTAGGAGATCTCAACGGAATTGACATTGTTGGATATTGAGTTTAAAATTGAATTGATATTGATGGTTCTCTCGTTCTTTGTATAAATACTCATTTTGTCATCTTCATATTTGTTTCACTTGATCTTAAAAATGTGCACCCACTTTATGCCGTCACTCCAGTATCTCACCTTCAATCATTCTTTCAACTTAAATTTGCTAACATTTTGCTCTCATGACATAGATGTGGGAATCATTTTTTATAAATTATTGGGCGTAATTTGTCGTTTACAGGGTGTAATTTTGCTCGAATTTAGATTATCGTGAATTAACCGTGATCTGTATCTAATTAAACCTCTAAAACTCCCAAAGAGCACATTAAATTGAACTTGCCTTGTTTTGTTCTTGAGGAATAAGAGCATGAGCTCCTTATTCGAGTTCAGTATGGAAATTAAGATCATCCACTTTACCTCTCTATTCTAAGCCTTCGTCTCGATGGGCATATGTATCTCCCAGAGTGCCATGATAAGACTGACCACATCGTCATCATCGTAATCAAAACAACAGCAGTTTCCTCTAATCGATGTTACCGCTCTCTGTTTTCTTCGTAGAACTATAGAGAATGCGCAAACACATCGGTGAAACTCACTGAAGTATCGCGAATATATACGATACCGATATGGCCCACTTTTGGTGTTCACAAGGTTCTTAATTCTGTTGAGAAATCATAAACACAGTAACTATGGTTCGTGAGAGCATCTTTACACGCTACGTAATAGACTTTCGTAGGCTCAGCATCAACTTGGATAGTGGTCGTATAAGGATAATGTGTCTACAACATTAATAATACAGTAACCTTCTGTTCAGTTAGCAACTACTATGGCATGTCCACTCCGCTTATGCCGCATGCATATTTGGCCTTTACAATAATTCGTGGTCGCGTACCGATGTATCAAGCCAGTGCGGCTATCCTCCCAAATAAGTCTCGTACCAATTTGCCGACCTCGGAAGAATGGAGGGCTTGGTGAGATACGGGCGCAGGGATCGATCCCACGTGTGTATTGCAGAGCGCCTCCGACCACTTCGTCACACGGGCCTCTAAAAATTAGATAGGTGAAGGGAATGAGGACTGATTTCGATGATGTGTTCAGCAAATGATAGATCTACTATGTGTGCTCAATTCGCAGTGGAACGATATTATCCGAAGGTTCTTCTGTGTGTATATAAGTCTGTATGTCAGTATGAAAGCAATATGTTCCAGAGCTAAGCGGAAGTAAGAGGAATGCTTCGGGAGGTTACGAGAGCAATAGTCAGGTAGTAGAAACGAAAAGAATGAGGATTGGTGGCCGTTGTTCTCCTATGCGAGGTTTTTTTTGAATTATGATGAAAAGCATTAGAAATATGAAAAATTATTGTAAAAAATTAGTGGTTGGGAGTACTTAACGCTTTCTATGAGTCTTCCACTGAGTATGTCGCGTGAAGACCAACCGCATAGAATTCACATGGAAGCGTAATGTGCCCATCCTATCAGAATAACAGGTTTATATACTGTTCAATGTCACGCGTGATCATGAGGCATTCCTGCGGTTCATTTTCGGATTCTTGGAATTAATCTAGAATGTCTCTAGAGTGCGCGAAGATCGTAACCCTTACTTCATCATCTTCTCCGTTATGTCACTGCGTGCTATGCGTTCCCAGCGGGGTATTTGGTAGACGTATGCCGGCTAGGTGTTCTTTCATGCGGACACAGAGGGGTCTGCCCGTTCTCCGGACCACAGGTGTATGCAGTGGAGAACGAACACGCGCTGTTGTCCTTACCAGGGAGCAGCGCACTTCACCACCACACCATCCAGGTCCTTCGCTTTGCGTGTATCTCAGCTAGTTCTATCGATCTTTTTTGCCATCAGCAATCACCCGTCAACGGGGTTGATCTGGGGAGCCAATATCGGCATTGAACCCAGTTAAGCTGAGGCTTAGTTATAATCACACTCTTAATTCTTTTATTTACTGCCTTTTTCTTCTTAATGGCAGGTTATGTTGCGAAATAGCTGAATATCTCAGCATTTCATACGAGTTATATTTTGCAACATAACCTGCCATTAAGAAGAAAAAGGCAGTAAATAAAAGAGTTAAGATTGGTAAACGTAGTTGAAATGCCACCGAGTAATCTTAGGCGCCAGCTAGTTCGTACCCGCCTATATGACCGTCTATGTGCAACGCAAAATTGCATAATTTGCCCCAATGGTAGAGACGATGATTGCACGAGCTCGGGTATAGTTTATCTGATCTCCTGTAAAACGTGCGGTGACGAATACATTGGCGAAACGGGCAGACCCCTCTGTGTCCGCATGAAAGAATACCTAGCCGGCAAACGTCTACCAAACACCCCGCTAGGCACGCATAGGACCCAGAGACATAACGGGGAGGACTTTGAAGTTCGTGTCACGATCCTCGCACAGGAATCAAGAACACAAGCGCGCAATACTCTTGAGGCGTTCTGGATTAATTCCAGAAATCCGAAAATGAACCGCAAGGAAGAATGCCTCGTTATCACGCGTGATATTGGACAGTATAGAAACCTGCTATTCTGATGGCAGGGGCACATTCCATGTGAATTCTGTGCTGTTGATCTTCACGCGACATAATCAGTGGAAGGCTCATAGAAAGCGGTGAGTGTGCGGAGCTGTATTAAATGTGATTGAAATCTTGGTTTAGCGTTTTCTCTGTTTGGTTATGGAGGTGTTTGGCCGAATAGGTTGCTGTCAACTTGACCTTTCCAGGCTCTGAAGAAGGTGAAATCCGCCGAAACGTCAGCTTGTACGTAAATAAAGAAATAAAATACCATCTCGTGTTTGCTGAACAGAAGTAGAAAGAATTGTTCATTCAATGCCGAGTTTAATAGAAAGTCGGACGTGGAAGTTACTGGGTGGGAGTGTTATTGGCGTTATAAAGAGGTGACGATGAGAGTTTTCCATATATGCTTAGGATACATAGTGCTGACTTACAGAAATAATGTAAGGTAACGAATATTCGGCAAAAAACAGAATCATGCTCGTGCGTTACCAGAGCTTATGTTTACTGCAGTATTGCGTTGCGAATCTCCTTCCCAGAAGAATCTCTTGTTCGTTAGTCGTAAGACCGCGTGGTGCGTTCCCAAATGGTTGACAGGTGCTTAAACGTGACCATGAACAACTCTGTTGTTTCCCGAAGAGCAAGAAGTTCTAGAGGACGCACTTTCTTTATACAGGAGTTTGTTGTTGATAATGGAAGTCTGGTGAAAACAACTTGTTTTCTTCGGGTAATCCATCCTGTCTAAGTCGATATCATTATCAGCTAGCATATAACGAGTGAGCATTAAAGGAAAAGGTAAGGTTAAAGGTAAGAGGAAGGTCGGTTTTCCAAACATTAGTATCTACAAGTTCTGGTTTTGCACGGACTCAAGAGCAGATTACTTGAAGAAGGAACCAGCCGTTCTCAAACTATATCTGAACAAGTCAACACATCTGTGAACCCACACTGCTTCACTCAAACCAGCAAGGTTTTCCGAAGGTGTTTATGTTTAGTTATTAAAAATGTCTGTAAACACACTCACCGTGTCTTCTGATGGAATCAGCGGCTCAGCGGAAATGTGACGCATAAAAAAGTAAATGCTGGCTATATGACCGTCTGTGTACAACGAAAAACTGCATAAATTGCCCTAACGATAGCGACGGTGATTGCATGAGTTCGGGTTCAGTCCATCTGATCTCTTGTAGAGTGTGCGGGGACGAATACGTTGGCGAATACGTTGGGTAGATCGCTCTGGTCTGCATAAGAGAACACCTAGTCGGTAAAGCTAAATTAAAACCAAACACTCCACTAGGCGCGCGTAGGATGCAGGAACAGAACGGAGAAGATTTTGAAGTAGGAGTCAGTATCCTCACGCAGGAATCGAAAACATCAGCGCGTAAAACTCTTGAAGCGTTTCGAATCAACTCCAAAAACGAACCGCAAGGAGGAGTGTCTTGTCATCACGGGTGGCCTAGCACCATACCTCAGCCCGATCCAATGACCTGACACAGACACAGTTATCGCCCATGTATTACTCTGTGCGGCTGCTATCCACCAACTCACTTAAATACTTGCAACAAATAAACGGTAGGTGTTTAAATGAAGTTGTTTCATATGCGAATATAAATTTATTTGTTAAGTTTTATCTGCTGGGGTTATGAAAGTGTTTGGCTGAGCAGATCGCATCTCAATTTGACCTTTCCAGGCTCTGAAGAGGGCGAAACCGCCGAAACGTCGGCTGTTTTGTCCTAATAAATTCTATAATAACAACCTCGTGTCTGCTTTTTGAAGAAAAACATCAAATCTCTCTCTCTCTCTGATCCACAACGGTTGCGACTGTCTGTGGTGGTGACGACCTGAGGCAAACTTTGGCTAGGCTGACCTCGTGATTCCCGGGAACCACAATGGCTTAACCAGCAAATCTCTGAATAATGGAGATTGTGCTGGCGCCCGTACAACCAGTGAGGACGGGCCATTCAAGTATCAAGCGTCAAGTACGAGAAATGCACTTAAGGTACATGCCCGCTCTGAACGTCAAAATCACAGGGAGATGTTTTTTCCTTTCCACTGCAGTAGTACCACTTCCTAGTTGATTCATTAGCCACCTGCACTTTATCTTGATTGGCTCTGCGCATCTACTCGAACTAAGGACTCAGTTTAAAACTGGTAGAATCGTGCCGTTCGACGAAAGGAAATTTAGAGATTGTAGAATAAGACCCATCAAGGGAACATAAAACGGAAATGAACAGATAACACTGGAATCAGTATTCTGTATTCATTGGAATACAGTCATATTTACAGCTTCGGTAGATATCATATCAAAGGCACATATATCTTTCATGCTTACAGTGGTGTGTTTCATTTCAGCTGCCGCTGCCGCTACATTCAGTTTGTCACCGCTGTTCTTCCACCGGTGACGATATCTTTTCAATACCACAGATCCAACGTCCAGGCAGTTGACCTCGTGATCACAGTAAGGCTAAAATACAATTGAAGTAAGCCAAAAAATACGTGAATAAGCTAGAGCTTAACTAGAACAAATGGAAGAAAAAACGAAATGAAACTGTAATTCCAGGACTATAAAGGCAATGAAAATGCCAGAGCAAGACTCGCCAGGAGGTATGTGAAAAGAATGGTTTCGGTCACTGATGATAATACTGCTTAAGGAATTGGGAAGTTATGTGAGGTTGTAGACTTGCAGATCAAAAGCAAACATTTACAAGCATATAAAATGAAGTGAAGTGATATTAAGTACGGTAGAAGCCTATGTCAACTTTTTATATGCCCACTGTTTTTTGGCTCAGGAGAGCATCGTAGTTGAGAAAAGATCAGGAAAGAAACGATATAAACATCTCTGTTATAAACATGTTGCAGTCATGAGCATTGTCGTGGTGTAAAGTAGAAAGAGGTTACAGTTCCCCAGCGGCTATTTCAGGTAAACTGAATCACCACAGATGTAGATGGAGGCCAAAGGGATTTATAACTATTGAATATGCATGATTTAAGTTTGTAGAGAATCGTTGAAAAAAGCTACTGACGTAGAGATTCGTACGAGACCCTGTGAAGACATGTCGGGTTGAAGGGACCACCCACTTAAAATTTAAGTGGATGTTTCAGGTGTTCAAGAAAGACGAAGTGAAATCGTTGACGTTATGATGTTCTGCTGTCTCGTTCTCAACATAAACAATTTGTGGTCATTTCCTAGTGCAGCATACGAAAACGGCGGTGGTAAGCAGTGTTCGTAAAACGGCCGTTTTAGAAAAAAAAGCTATGAGGAAGCCATCATTACTAAAATGTAGGCTATGGGAAAAGGCAGTCATGACCGTGAGTGAGTGTTTGTAAGATTGCCGATTTCACAACGGCAGCAAATGTTGAGGTCATTAATGAACTTCTACAGTAGAAACAACATGATATCACAACGGCACTAATCGATAGAACTAGCTGAGAAACAGGCGAAACGAAGCACCTGGAGGGTGTGGTGGTGAACGCGTTACTCCCCGGAAAGGACAATTGCGCGTTCGTTCCTCACCGCAGACACCTGCAGTCGGGAATTTTGCAAATATCTCGGCATCATTGTCGTTGTATTTCACATCATACGCTGCCGTGAAAAAGTATAGTGGAAAGCAAATCAAAAGTTAGCACTGTAACATGGTATTGTTTCAGCTTTTTTCCTAGCGTTGTTCATCGCTACCAACATACTATTAATGTTTCCTATAATCCACTTGGAAGTGTTTGTTGGTCAGCGTCATCAATCTGGCATATGCAGAATCTATCGTAGCTACGGATGGGCGTTTGAAGGTGAGTTGAGGAGGAAAACGGCTCGTTCAATCACACCAAAGTTCTAAGTGTTCTCTGCTCAAATGTTTACATCTAAGTAAAGATCTTAACGGTTCTTTTTACTACCGTCTCAATTCCAGGCTTTGGAGCAGCGGTTTTTATTTTGACGTTTTTGGCGTCGTTACGTGATATTGAAGCTTCTTATATGGTCATAAGACATATTAAAAATGTCATTGTAGATATAATTGGCATTGTGTCTTGTGAGAGCGAAAGATATAAAGGTTAGTTGTCTCCATACGAAAACCTGTAACATGGATTGTTTCCCCTTACTACACGCCGGCACACTCTAAGAAGGTTGGCCTAAATCGTGCGAAACCGGTGAGGACTATTATCTGCTTTCTGCGGAGCCACACGAATGTGTGCAATAGATGTTATAAGACGCTGCTGAGCAGCATTTTCACATTGGACATAGAATTTGCCACTTTTGGAAAGTTTTATGGCCCATCTAGTCTTGATGGTGATTGATTGATTATGGCCCATCTAGTCTTGATGGTGATTGAAGGATGATTAAATTAATGGAAAATGGCAAAGTATCCACTACGATATTTTGTTCCATTTCTGTAGATTTACTTTTAGGAGTACTGTGTACATCACTCTACAATGATGAACAGTGTAGAGTGATCAACGGTCCCTCTCATATCTATCGACATGGGGAATGCAGCGACAAATATTATATTGGTAAACAACCGCCTTTCACAAAGTACTATTTTGAGTAAGTTTTTGAGTATCGTTGGCCTAAGAAACAATTCCAATGGCTTATTTCTTTAGGGATCTTCTTGGAGTCAGGGAGGAAACTGATATCAACGTATGTCTTTATAGCAATTACACAACAGCGTACATTACTAATACCTACACTTTTTTTCATTATTTTACTTTCGTATTTCGCATGCCTGGTGACCTAATGACAGTAGTTGTTACATCAATATTATTCCCTCGGTGAAGCAAAGATCGACTTATACCAACAGGTAAATCGCCCAAGACGAAACACGATGTCTTCTTTACGAAGTCGGCGAGCTTATTGGATCAGCCAGTTGTTTGAATCCTTCGCTCTCTTTTTTCACACAAATGACCTATACAACTGACATCGACCATCTACTGCATTATCCAACAATCAATGCCGATTTGTATTACCGTGTATCGCCGAATGCCACCGGGATATCGAAAACCACGGACGAATTGTTGGTGCACACAGATATTCTTGCACGTCCACTCCTATAAGAGCGATTCTGCAATTATGTACTCACGAACAGCCTGGTGATTAGAAAATCCCGTTCATCACGAGGACGGTGGCGGCTTGATGAGTACCGGGTTCACCAGTCCTCTTATCCCGTCTGGATCGGAAGAATGGGATCAGACTTATTTGGAGCGAGCTTACTCCATAAATTCCACACGGGAACGTCCCGGAACAACTATCCCAGCGAAATAAAAATAAGAAAGCCTAGTCAACTTGACATTAACAAGTGTCATTCTTTAATTGAAATTGGTGAGGTCTACATAAAGTTATATTATGTAGGTGGCTTCAGCGAAGACCGGAGTTAGCAGGTGAATGCGGATTTTCGAGTCCTTCAGTTGGTGGCTGCCCTCTTTAAGAGACTCGAGTGCGGCTGTTACTGTATACTGTTCTTCTTCGCTTCTAATTTTTCCTTCATGTTGCTCTCTACGTTAATTGATCGACCAAGGTATACGTATGAAGTGGTCGCTGCAATCAGAGAACAATCCAGTTCGAATGGTTCGCCTTCGTATCATGGAATTTTCATGAACTGAATAGTCTTCCAATCTGTGCCTAGTCCGATCTTTTCCTTTCTTCGTTGAGCTCATTGATCATCGTATTTGCTTTACTGGTACTTTTTGAAAACATGGCGATGTCGCCGGCGAAATTTTCGCTCAATACGTGTGCCTTTCTCATACCAATCAAGCAACTTCATCATCTATTGTAGGACTAAACAGCTTTGGAGATTATCTCCTTATCCAACCCATTTTCTTATGGGCATGATAAGAAATCGGTGGAACACCTGTATTTTCGTTTTGCAGTTTCGATAACATTCAGGGCAGTGTTTTTATGTAGGCCGGGTTCGTTCCTTGCTCGATAAGCGCTGGCAGGATTTCATTAAGAATGTTCTCATTATATGCAGCTAGACTCCCCATGGTTGATGACATGAATGCTCGATAAGCATTCGTTTCGACACTGTCAAACGCTTTTTCATAGCCGAAAAAGGTTAGGACTAGAGGCGTTTGTGAGGAGAGGACTAGATGGCACATCTTTTCAGTCCTTCGATAAGCGGCTCTTAATCTTCGATTGTGTTTTTCTTAATCTGCCAGTCACACTTGAATAGGATTTCATTAAGAATGTTCTCATTATATGCAGCTAGACTCCCCATGGTTGATGACATGAATTCCTTCCAGCTTACGGTTGAATCGAATCTTTGCGCGAAGAAGGCGGTCGTCGGATCCAGTGCGGATTTATGTATCAAGAAGACATAATCTTCTCTTTACCAGAATATGGTCGATCTCCGCAGAATGTTGCCTTTAGGAGGCTCTCATCTAGTGGCGGTTTCCTTCTTTTGGAAAAACGAGTTTTCATGGACGAGACATGCTGCAGACAGGAGTCCCGTGAGATGGTTCCCATTCCCATTTTTTCCTCTTGGTCCAAAATTTCCAATCCTGTATTCGCTCTTGTTGGCCTTTCCTATTTTGGCGTTGAGTTCTCCTACATGAAATTTATAATACGCTTTATCACTGCGGATAACTTCATCCAATTAAAAGTAGAACGTATCCAATTCATACTCATCAGCTGCATCGGCCAAAGAGTAGCAATTGATGATTGTGATCTTCCTACGAAGCGTCAGTTGAAGACGGAGGACGGCCATGCAGACGGAGAGGATCTCGTACGAGTCAACGAGATGGACAATAGGTGCGTGGACGAGAAAGCCTACACCAACGACGTTTCGTGACGGGATCTTTTCTCAGCGTATGACAAGAGTCTCATTGTTTAGTTAACGTTTAACGGTTTTCCTGATTTTTGTTTCTTGCAGTGCGATCACTTAAAATTTGATATAATCCGCGGTTTCAAGAAGGGCGAAAAAAATTGGTGTCTGCGGAGAGTGTTCTGGCATTAGACGTGCAGAGTAAGAAACAATCTCCATGACGTGTAGTGCGTTAGTGCGTGTGTTCGTCAGATATGGTTCCAGTGACGTCCTGCGTAACCCGAGATTTTCTGACCTCTCACCGGTCATCTCGCCGCCTGACGTCATAGTCGCGAGCATTCAGTGTGCGAAGTGCTGAGGCTGGTTTATTGCTTGTTGAGCAATTTGATCCTCCCTGGAGTCCTAACTTAACCTGGCAAGAGCGTATCTAAGTCTTCACCACGATGTGGATCCGAGGGAAGTACCTTTTCGGCAGCGATTCCTTCGCTCGGTCTTCCTACTAGTTGATTCGAAGACGATGTTGAAACCGAAATCAGAAATGAAAGTAGGAATGAAAAAAAATGACCAACCGCTCAGTGATGATGTAGAAGCCGAGTCGTCGCGTACTTTGTCGTTTAAAATTGCAGGAATTCTCAAAATATTTGTGATCTCTCATCCATTTCCACAGGCTTCTTAAAACTTTGTGGTGGAAAACCCTAATTAAAAGACCACGAATTTGAATTGATAAGGCGTGTGGTGTGGTGGTATTAATCTCGTCAGACTGCCCAACTCACCCACGGAATTGTTCGACCTCGCACCAAGCCCGTCAGGCCTCTCACCTCTCTCGGCAAATTGCTACTAAATTTGTCATGGACAATCTAGCTCCCCTCGTCCATATGGGAAAATCCAGGCACGGTTACTACACGGACAATCGACCCGACCTGCATTCAACCATATTTGTGACGAGGAGGGAAAATTCTCAGACAGTAGGCTGAGCCAAATGGAAGAATAAATTCGAAGACCGCTGATGGTGGATGTGAAGGAATGAATCGAATGCAAGAGGTACAGGTATTTGGACATAGCACCGAAGCATGCAATACAATGATTGGACGAACAGTTAAGTAGAATGTGAGAATTCAGGAAAAGGCCCTGGTTTTTTTTATAAGCGTCTTTCTTTTGCGCCATTTCCTTGCTGTCGGTGTTTTCGGTGTTAAACATGAGCCTTCTAATGATTTTGACATTGATGAGATGCTGTTAATTAATGTACTCCAATGCAATTAATTAGTGGTAATTAACGTACTAGTTTCGTCTGTGCCAGGAAATCGACATCATGAGTGAGTTAGCAGTAGAGCTGTACAGAAAGAAACGAGAAGTTTAGAAAAGGAACAAAAGCCTCAAAGCTAGTGAAAAGGCAATGGCCATGATATTCGACACCGGGTACGTTGTTCGACCTCCTGCTTTATCGTACTTGATCGCCAGCCAGATGTTGTATGAAAAGAATGAGAAGCCGATAGCTCTTTCAAAAGCATTACCAATAAGGTGATGCTACCAAAACATGAAAAGTAGGTTACGTGGATGCCTGGAAAAGAGTAGGTGGCGCCTACACTGATTGGCTATGTGGGCAAACGAAGAGCCCCAATACAATTGATGTGATGGTAGGACCTCTAGACAAACATCTTAGAAAACAGAGTGTTCTTGCAGCAAGTAGAGCTTGCTAAACAACAATAGAATTCAAGAGGAACCCTTGGTGCTTAATTCACTTGACAAATGCTTTGATGTGGTACAGAGAGTGCACATTGTCGGACCATTACTGATCAATCGATATTCTGACAAAAATACAAGCTGTTTGTTTCAGCATCTGTTATATTACTTTATAGTTTTTGCCATATATGCTTGTATTTCTATCGCTGGTGAGAGAATTACGAGGATCCTACTTGCTATTATTTGTGAGTCTTTAGCATATTTTTCCTACCAGTACTCTCATATTTGGTGATGTCGTTTGGACTGAAAATTCGAAACGACGCCACGCCAACTATGGATCCTACTGTTAGTGGATGCGCTTCTCTCGTCTAGCACAACCCATCACTTTAACGGTGACCGCAGTTTGATGTAGAGAAACCCCTCTAATTTCTCATCCGTCACGAAATCCATCGTCGAGGCGGAATGATTTCGAATTTTCAGCTGACAGATAGAATTTGTACTTGTTGTAATGACATAGCAGCGCATTTCTTGAAGCACTTTCAGATGCTGGATTTTTGACCTGCTTTCTAATCAGTGTGGCTAAATTTCTATGGATGACCAATTTAAGCGTTTTAGTGGAGATTTTTTGGATTATCACCACTCCGGAACCGCTTTTTTCATTTCAAGTAGGCTGGAGTCAAATAATTGAAACTGCTCTGCACAACAGGAATTCGGTAACGCTAAATAATTGTAGGCGTATTATGCAGCTATTCATTTGGCTGTGAAATGCAGTGGAGTGATGATTTACGGAATAATGTCTTCCGCTTCTTTTCGCAGTAAAAATGGCAACACCTATGGAGTACGTGGTATTCTCAGTCATTAGTGATCACAATGTTTGCGTTATGAGAGATAATGAATAATGAATTGACACTACGGACAGAGGCTTCAAATTGTGCGACATCAGGCATTTGTCGGTTCTATTTCGGTAGAACGCGCCTGTGGCGCAGTGGTCGGAGACGCGCTGCAACGCACACGTGGAATCGATCTCGGCGCCCGTGGCCCACCAAGCCTTCCGTCCCTCCGGAGTCGGCAAATTACTACCAGACTTGTCCGGGAGGATCGCAGCACTGGCTCGATACATCGGTAGGCCACCGCGAGTCATTGTAAAGGCCAGATATGCATTCAATCACCTCCAAACGATCTTAATAAAGTTTAGTTTTGTTTTCTGCCTTCTATAATTTTCATGGCAGGTTACTAAGCGAAATACAACCACAACGTTGCTGAGATATTTGCAAAACTCTGGACCGCAGGTGTCTATGGTGGGGAACGAACGCGCTATTATCCTTTCCGGGGAGTAACGCGTTCACCACCACACCATGCGGGTCCTTTGTTTCGCACGTCTCTCAGCTAAAGATCGATAGAAATAGCTGAGAGACGTGCGAAACAAAGGACCCGCATGGTGTGGTGGTGAACGCGTTACTCCCCGGAAAGGATAATAGCGCGTTCGTTCCCCACCATAGACTCCTGCGGTCCAGAGTTTTGCAAATATCTCAGCAACGTTGTGATCTTAATAAAGTCGATTGCATGGCTCATCTGATCAACGCCGAGAGCTTTATTCTGTTTATCTTATTTTGGTAGAAAATCAACAGCAACATAAATTTACTGGACATACTCTTCTAGAAACAACCCCTCACAGCCGATTGGGGTGGAATATAAGTGATAATCTAATTTTAGTAGTAGTGACTTCGAAAAACCTGATTTAGCTCGCACTCGCCATCTTGCTCAACAACATCTGCATTGCTGTTCTTAGTTTTGTGTTCACACTCAGCACTTCCGCCTACCTAGTAGTGAGAAAATATAATGGCTATAATTATTCGCCTAGAGAAAGTGGTATGTACATAAATATATTCTGTTTTAAAAATATGTTTCTTCATCTCTAGCAGAGCTTCCGTGAAAGCATTGCTACAACACATTTCTGTCCCAGATCAGAAGGCATAGTCCTATTCCTTTCTCCAAGATAGCAACCAAAGCATCGATGACTATGCATTCTAGTGATTCGTGCGTGCTTAGATACTTGATTGACCTATCTTTACTGGAAGGATCACTCCAGGAGAATTTTTGTTCGTTTCTCTCTCTTGCGCAATCGTCTTCTATAGTGGTGATCTACTTCGAATATGTTGACGTTCGCGAAGCTCATTCCGACGTTTTGAAACCGTTTCCATCTGCGAATGCAGATGGTTGACGTTAGCCACCAATACGTCCGACTATGATTTGGATGGTCGCCCAACAGCACGCTTCCATTCGACCGAAGTCTCCTCCACTGCCCTCCTTTTCCATCTGTCTCTTGTTCTTCTTATTATATAATCGGCAAATTTGTGCTTCACTGTTGACGTACATTCTTCTGAATCTTGATGAAGGAACACGCTCGAAGATCTGAACTGTAGAGTCCAACCAGAAATAAAACCAGAGCTTTGCGTCCGTTAGTTGGTCGGTGGTTTGTTCGACAGACTAGATTGCGTTGCGGCCCATGCTGCTCTTCTTCTTATGTTTAATTCTTTTTTTATGTTGTTATGCATGTTCAGTGAACGTTTAAGGTACAGTGCGAGGTGGTCTCTGTGATCAGAGAACCATATAGTTCCATTTTTAGCTTTGCACCATAGGTTCTTTAAATAGGCCTACGTCCTATTTATGCGCTATTCAATTTTTTTCCCTTCACTGAGTTCATTGAGCATCGTGTCTGCTTCAATAGCACTTTTCAAAAAGACGACGATGTCATTCGGCGAAGGGAGGTTTGGTAGGAATTTACCATCAATGCGTATGACCCTCTCGTCCCAAGTGAGTCGAGTCACTTCCTTGTTCACAGCAATGTGGCAATTTACAGCTTTGGCGGTACTGCTTCGCTTTTTCGAAACCCTTTTTTTCTGGACATGGTAAGGGATGGGAGGAAAAGCTGTATTTTCCGCTGCAGTTCAGACAACAATTGGCTGGAGCTCCTACTTTCATTTGTTTCAACTCTGTCAAGCACTCGCTCTTACGATATCAATAGAGGTTGCGACACGGGAAAGATGGTAATCTTAGCAGAATTCTACAATCCGGAACACAATTCACAAGTGGCTCATGGAACAGAATCCCTATGAGAATCCTGCTTGTTCAACTAGTTGTGCTCCATCCAGGGTTTTCGATTTGCTCAAAAGAATAATCGTGAACAGCTTCAAGAGTACACTCGACAAACAAGTTGGACGGTGTTCATTAAAAACCCATCGGTCACAATTCTTGAGTAGGATGACCGCGCGCGACTTCTTTCGTTGGTTTGGGATTTTTCCTTTTGAATGTTAGATTTCATATGCTTTGCTAGAAGTACACGTAGTTTATGGCTCCCAGCTCAGAGGTATTCCGTGGTGATATTATTGGGCCCGGTGTCCCTATCTCCCGTCATTTTTCTATCGCAATTCGTACTTCAGAAAGAAGAATTCTGAGCGCCTTTTGCCCAGCGGAAATTCCTGGGTCCATGGCAAGGAACGTGGGACAGGAAACACTGGTATGGAACTTCTCTGTTATCAATTCATACCTTGAAAAGCGCACATCTCTAGACGGCACTTTTTTAAACCAGGTGGTTTTTGAGCTGTCTCCTCTAACTTTCGCTGCCTGTAGTGGTAGAAATCCAGGTAAATGATAAGACCAAAATCTTCTACGGGTAGCATCTATTATCAACCGTGTTAGGCATGCTGTAATAGCATTAAGCCTCAGCGTTCCTTTTTTCAAGCAACTCCTCAGCGGTAATGGAGATACGGTATGAATTCTTGTTTGAAGAATTGAGTCGAGTTCGGTACCATTTTCACTCCTTCGACGAACAGCATAAGTCGTTGGTCGGGTCTTCTTTTATTTGCCGCTTGTATGGGAGAGGATTCTATTGAAGATTTCCTCGTCATACATGACTTGTTTCGTTTTCCTTGGACGGCGACTTCTTCTAGGAGTTATTCTCCAGCTAATGATGGAATCGAATCTTCGCACGGAGAAGCGGTGACGAAACCAAGTAGAGGATGATGACACCAAGGAGGTGTCACAGAGACGCCAGCTACGTTGCCCAGAATGTGGTCGATATCACATGAGCTGTGCTGTTAGGAGACCACACGGTCTATCGGCAATGTTCTCCCTTTTCGAAAAATGAATTCTTATGGAAGAAACGAGTTTTCGGCGGAACTCTAACGAGACGTTTCTTTCTTCATTTCAACCTGCGATTTTTTCTCTCTTGTCCGTTAGCCAATCGTAATCTGGCATAGAGTTTAAGGACGAATTTATAGAACTTGTTGTGGATCACTTCCATCAGCTGGTTGTAGAACAACTCCATTCATCTCTCACCAGTTGCACACGTTAATGAACAGCAGTTGGTGCTAATGACTCTTTTAACACGACATTTGAAGACTAAGAAAAGCAAGTGACTGTAGAGGTCGCTTTTGGATGGTCATCAAAAATTTCCTTGCAGGACATGAATACTTTTTGGGTACGACGGCTGACGCACTCTTCACCAATTCAGGAGATTATAAATGGATAATTATCACAACCATACCAATCATCATTGCAAGATTAGTTCACTTCTTTGGTAAGTTTTCTATTGCTTTCTTCTGAGCGAAAACTTATATTGGTTATGAGTTGCAGTTTGATTTAGTCAGTTAAATAATTTTAGCTCCTAATAGTTTATCGTCCTGTCGTGGGTAGGAGGTGTTCCTGGGTGTCTGGCTGCGATGTACAGCAGGAGATTCATCCCCCTGGCAGGGCCTCACCAGTCCAGCGTTTCCAACAGGAAGCACAGCTGGAAGTAAACTAGTGCCAGGATCCACCACCATCTTAGTATCAAACTAGTCGCATGATGGTAAATCTCCATCTTATCCACAAAGGCGGCGACTGCCAGTAGTGGTGACGACCTGGGCCAGACTTTAGCTAAGCTGACCACGGGACTCCAGGGAACCACAACGGCTAAACCAGCTAAACTGTGAAGAAATGAAAGTTGTTCAGGAGCCCACGCAACCAATGAAGATGGGCTAACCAACTATCCAAATAAGTAAGTAGATAAGTTTAAGAAAAAATAAGAAAGACTAATTATGTGGATAATGTGTGCCCCGTTACCGTGACTCCATTTAAATCCACCATTTTCAATCGTCTTGTTCCTTCACGACAACCGTCCTTCATGTGAGCGTGGAGCTAGTCTGTTTCGTGCGCTCGAACAACAATGTTTTGGTAACTCAAAATCCACCTTAAACGACGAAAATCTAATTTTCTCACTAAGTGTTGTGTTTTTCTCCTTGGAAGCCATGGTCACTGAAACTTCTTGCTTTTCGTGCAGCTTTTTTCATGTCACTAATAGGAATTGCTGAACGTCCCACCCATTCGCAATG